TTGTGTGTCCTCTATCTGGTCTTGAATCCTGGTTAATGGTGGCGTTTTTGTTAATTATTACCACTAAGCTAGAGAGGAATAAAATAACCTAAAGCCCAAAGACAAGAAAAGCCGACAAGAACAGGTCCACTACGAGGATAAGAAAAGAAAGAGAGAGGTCGAGAGAGAAAGAAGCGAAACCCTAAAAGAATCGGTCATGCAGTTTGTGAGATCCGTGGCTGCGCAGGTAATGGAAAAAATTACAAAATCTTTTGTCTGTTCGTTTAAATTCTGATGTTATTGGTTTTGAAGTGTTATCGCCGAGGAAAACCACTTGGACGTCGAGATATCTCTTCTTCGCCGCGGCCTAGTTTGCACAATGGTGGTATATATATATATATATCTATTTGTTTATTTCCTCAGATGTAGTGGATGAGTTTCGTATTTTATGGATTTTTGAACAAAATTGAATCGTATTTTATTTCAGGTGTTGACGAGTCGGAAGTCAGTGTGATTGAGAATGTGTTTAACACCTCTCTCGCACTGGGTCTTGGAATTGGTATGGGTTATCTGATCATGGGCTACAGTGATTCATCAGAATATGCTCGGGAAGTGGAAGAGGTAAAGCAAAAGCAATTTCTTATCTCTCTTCAACACATCATTTCAATCCTTTTGACCATCTTGTTGTTGTGTTTCCAGGAGTGGGCGAGAAAGAAGCTGCTTCTAGAGGAGTTTGAAGCAAACTTGGAGCGCTGGCAAAAAAAATATGGAGTCAAACAAGATGTTTAATATTTTTTGAACTTTGTTATCAAATACTATGACTCTGTAATCATAATTTAAAACCTTTTGTAAACCTTGATTATATGTGATGGTGTCTTTCATTTAAGGGTTTTTTTTGTTCTTTATTTTACTGACATTCCAAGATTGATTATGCGACAGATTCTCTCATTAGTTGCTTCTGAGTTCAGCTGTGTGTGTTTATATCTTTGTTTGCTTGCTATTATTTACTTGAGAGAATTTTGAATCTTGGTTGTTGGAATGAGAAACTTAAGTTCTTTTTGTTTCCCACACTATGTGCCATCTTTCTTTATTTATTGCATTGAATCGTTTTCTTTTGTGCAGTGAAGTTAAGGTCTCAGGTTTTGAAGACAGTCCTGAGCTCAGCATTGCTACTGATGATCAAGGAGAAAATCAATGCAACAACATGGATTCTTATTGTGAAGCTATAAGGCTTTTTCCAATGCCATTGAAACGTGACGAACCCAAAATTAAGCAATGTGTAAGAACAAAATATACTAAGTCAATAATAAGACTAAAACTACAATAAGATGCTTAATGGAAGGCTAATTATGGGACGATCAACTCAAAGCTACAGTGATACTCAGCAAACTAATGTTATAAAAAGGAGATGAGAACTTCTTGAGTCATCTCTTAAACAACTCCGCGACTCATCTTCTCACCGGTAAGGTTTCAATCATTTGTTGGCTGAGTTTTATTTTTCTCTGTGTCTACGTTTTTAAACAAGCTCTCTTGAACATACTTACTTTGGCATTAAAAAGAAAAGAAAAACTAATTTAACTCTCTCTCTATTATAAGTGCGGCTTAAACATGTTGATAGTTATCCTCTGAAAATCTCTAATACTGATTTATTTTTCTTTTATGAAGCCTTGTGCGAGTCACAGTGAAGGAAACCAGGTCAAAGTCAATAACTGCTCTGACTAGCAATGCCACAAACCATCTCTGGTTTACTGACCTGGCTGGTAGCTAGATTGATGGCTACCGTGGTGTGGGCAAGTCTCTCAGTGTGTTAGAAGATGTGCTCTGTGCATCCAAAGACAAATCCAATATGCCATACATGTATTTTTATTATATTTTCATCATGTTTTCTTTTGTGTTTTGTCTGTGTTTTAACGTCATCATCATCTCGCTGAAGCTAGAAATCTCAGCTTACTCACTCCTCTTTGAATATTGATGAAAGATGAGGATGATCTTCAATGTCTCTCCAACATACCAGAACTTCAACGAGAGCATATGCACCTTCAATGTCTCTAGAAGAATCACAGAGAACTAGGAGAAGCAGAAGAAGAAAGAGCATAAGAAGAAGGGTCCACTGGAAAAGTACATGGAATTGAGACTAGATATAAAGAAATTTCCCTATGATAAGAAATTCAATCCAAGTGAGTCTCAAGACCCTTTAGGATACTTTTACAATGGGATATTAACTGCTTCAACTCAGACTATCTTTAACAAACAATCTCAAATATATATAGTATATATATACTCCTCTTACCTCTCTTAAAACTTTGTTCAGCTTGGTTTTGCAATTTATTCACAGCAGATGTCATGTCCTCATATTGAGATTGCTTTCTCCTCCTTTACTGTGCGGTGCTTGTGCAGATTTTTTCCTTTATGCGTTGTCTATGAAACAAGAGATTCTTCTTCTAGAAAAGTAAAGGAAGCAAAGAGTATATGAAATGTGCCGTTGGAGAGGACAAGGTAAACAACAATAAGCTCTTGTTTGGGATTAGTTTTATTGGATGAGAATATGTAATTAAGTTCATAATCTTTGGAAGATTAAAAACTCGAATGAAATTAAAAGTTTCATACACAAGATTAAGTTACCTCTTACATATTACATTTTTCTTGGAAAAGACAACAAATGTTGTAAAGAATCTAACAAGTTATACAATTATGTAGAATAATAGATGTAATTGCAAAAAATAAATAAAATTATACTGGACTATTGTATAATTTGGGACATTGTATAAATCCGGTTGTTATGAATTTGATTCTTGCTGAAACAAAACTAATGATGTTTGGTAAAATTGGATTTGAGCTTCTCATTTACAATTTACATGATAGTATAGTAACAAATGATATAGCTATATGTTGAGATGGTTGAAGATCTTCTCAGAAAAGCCAAAAATGTTGCTTCTCCCAAGAGTCTCTCTGTCAACTTGATTGAAGTACGCCAAGAGTTAATCAAGGATCTCTTGGTATCAAATTCCTGAAGACTCCATATCAAAGCAGAGAAGGTCGTTCGTTTGACTAGATCACCCATTCAAGATGTGGATCAACTCTGTAAGCTACTTGAGTCATCTCCTAAACATCAGTGACTCATTTTCTCACCGGTAAGGTTTCAATCATTTGTTTGGTGAGTTTTATTTTTCTTTGTGTCTACGTTTTTAAGCAAGCTCTCTTTAATATATTTTGGCTTAAAAAAACCTAATTTAACTCTCTCTCTCTCTCTAAGATATGAAGAAGTTCTCTTATGATAAGAAATTCAATCCAAGTGAGCCTCCCATAGGGTACTTTTACAATGGGATATTTACTGCTACAACTCAAACTATCTTTAAACAAACAATCTCAAATATATATACTATATATATACTCCTCCTACCTCTCTTGAAACTTAGTTCATTTTGGTTTTGCAGTTTATTCACAGCATATGCCATATCTTCATATCTCTCTATTTGAGATTGCTTTCTCCTCCTTTATGTGTTGTTCTTGTGCAGATTTTTTCCTTTATGTGTTGTCTATGAAACAAGAGATTCTTCTTTCTTGTGCACTTAGTGTTTTCTTTATGATGTTAAGCTCAAAGATCATACAAGGGTTTGTGATGTTTTTCTTTTTAAAAGTTTCATACACAAGATTGAGTTACCTCATACATATTATTTTTTTTTTGGAAAAGAGAACAAATGATGTAAAGAATGTGACAAGTTATGCAATTATGTAAGATAATAGATGTGATTGCAAGAAAATAGATAAAATTATACTGGATTACTGTATATATATTTTTTATACAAACGTGTTCTGGTTTGAATAAATTTTTACATTAAAAAAAGAAAGGAAAAGAAAAGAAGAAGCTGAAGCTAAGAATTAAGGACGAATATTTAGAACTTCAGTTTCCTGCAAGTTATTATAGTATTTAGTATAATTGTTTCTAGTTGATAAATCTCGTTTTGGGGATTCATCATGTGATTGTTCTTTTGTTGGACACTCTGCTAGTAGCTGATAGTTTAGCAACTGTTATTTAACTATGTTCAGTTATTAAAATGGCACAAGTTGCTGTAAAACCAACAGCTGCTTTCTGCTCCGAGAAGTACAATGATTTGTGTGTGTTTGTAGTGTATTGTTTGGTCTGTTGTGAAGTTGATCTTCTTTTGGGGTGATTGAGTTGATTCAGTTAACCAGACCATATTCTTTGTATTGATTCCATTAAATTTGGTTTATTTCAGCTGAAACACTCTACTTCCGTCAGAAGTATGCCTATCATTTCTTTGAAAACAAGTTTTCCTATAATTAAATATTATTTTCTTTCAGTCTTCTTTTCTCATAGTCACTCTTCAGAAACCCAAAAAACTCTCCTCCGGCGATCTCTCTGTCTCTCCGATTAGTCGGCAATTGAGATGGCAACTCCGATGGTAGAAGACACGTCAAGCTTCGAAGAGGATCAGCTCGCGTCAATGTCCACCGAAGACATCGTTAGAGCTACTCGTCTCCTCGACAACGAGATTCGAATTCTCAAGGTTCCCATCCCATTTCACTTGATTCGATAATGTTTTGGCTTCAATTCAACAATTTGCTTAGAAAATTAGAAAAAGTCTTAGTATTTAGGGTTTGAGTTATTTGTAATCCGTTATTGCTTAGGGTTTATTGCTTTTAGTTCCAAAGTTTTGATTTTTAGCTCATTAGTAATTGACTGATCTCTGTGTTTGTTAATGGGTATGTAGGAAGATGCACAAAGAACAAATCTTGAGTGTGATTCTTACAAGGAGAAGATTAAGGAGAATCAGGAGAAGATTAAACTCAACAAGCAGCTTCCTTACTTGGTTGGCAACATTGTTGAGGTAACTCAACAAGCATATGTTGTCATTTCCATGGACAGTTTTTGCTTTTTTTTTGTATTTATTATGATTTTAGGATCTTGGAGTTGAAGTACACTTGTTATGTTATTAGATTTTGGAGATGAATCCTGAAGATGATGCTGAGGAGGACGGTGCTAATATTGACCTTGATTCGCAACGCAAGGGGAAGTGTGTTGTCTTGAAGACCTCTACACGACAGGTGAGACTTCAATATCCGTTCTCTATGTGCATTCTTATTATACATGCTTTGAGCAAATCGTTTTGCTTGCAGACAATCTTTCTACCAGTTGTTGGTCTGGTGGACCCTGATAGCTTGAAGCCTGGTGATTTGGTTGGAGTTAATAAAGACAGTTACCTGATTTTGGACACCTTGCCATCCGAGTATGACTCCAGGGTTAAAGCCATGGAGGTCGATGAGAAACCTACTGAAGATTACAATGACATTGGAGGACTGGAGAAGCAGGTTCTCGTTTATCTCATTGTGTTTTATTCGATCTGCTTCTGTGTGTTTCGTTAACTGAATCTGATTGAGTTAATTTTCGAAAATAGATCCAAGAGCTTGTAGAGGCAATTGTACTCCCCATGACGCACAAGGAGCGGTTCGAGAAGCTGGGTGTTCGTCCACCAAAGGGAGTGCTCTTGTATGGTCCTCCAGGGACTGGTAAAACTCTTATGGCACGTGCCTGTGCAGCACAGACCAATGCCACCTTCCTCAAATTGGCAGGTCCTCAATTGGTCCAGGTATATATTGTAGTGTGACGATCAATACACTTGCCTGTTCATCCTCAGAGTTTCAAAATTGTATCATATCTGGATGTGTGCAGATGTTTATTGGAGACGGAGCAAAACTTGTCCGTGATGCCTTTCAACTAGCGAAAGAGAAAGCTCCATGCATCATCTTCATTGATGAGATCGATGCAATTGGTACAAAGCGTTTTGACAGGTACAACACTTTTGCTGTTTCCAGGTGTTCTATTTCTGCAATTCATGAGCAGATTGCTAACTATATTCTTTGGCTGAGAGTGCAGTGAAGTAAGCGGAGACAGGGAAGTGCAAAGGACTATGTTGGAGCTGCTCAATCAACTTGATGGATTCAGTAGCGATGAGCGTATTAAGGTGAGAGTCTTTCTTTATTCTAGTAACTAGTCATACTCATCTATGTCGTCCCACAGAGAAGCAGTAACAATCAAACCTCTCAAAAATTTCAGGTGATTGCAGCCACTAACCGTGCAGATATTCTGGACCCAGCACTCATGCGTTCTGGTCGATTAGACAGGAAGATTGAGTTCCCACATCCAACAGAAGAAGCAAGAGCCAGAATCTTGCAGGTTTGTCTCTCAAGATTTCCACACATGACACTAGATAGCTTAAAAGGTCATGTAACTCAACTAACTCACACTGAATGAATGCAGATTCACTCGAGGAAGATGAATGTACACCCAGACGTCAACTTTGAGGAGCTTGCAAGATCGACAGATGATTTCAATGGCGCTCAACTGAAAGCAGTATGTGTAGAGGCTGGCATGTTAGCTCTTCGTCGCGATGCCACAGAGGTAAGAATATACATGGTTTTACGTTTTCTTTATGATGCAAGTTTTGTCTAGTTTCTAAGCATTGAGTTCTGTTGTTGTATGTGTTATCAGGTGAACCATGAGGACTTCAATGAAGGTATAATTCAAGTCCAGGCCAAGAAGAAAGCAAGTTTGAACTACTACGCCTAATCTCTTCACAATCAGTTATCTTTCTGTGTTTACTCTCTATCTTTCATCTCCAGTTTGTCTCTTTTCATATATCGAATCAGGATATATATTATCGAAATACATTTAGTTGTGTGAATCTTCATTTTCTTCTGAGACAGGAAAATGAATTTTATGTCCATCATCCAGCTTTTTATTGTTGAATTGTGTGTTTCAAACGAAGATAATATTATTCAAGAAGTTAATGTGCTAAAAAATTAAAACATTAAGATATGCAAACGATCTTAAAATTCAAGGGAGAAAAATATTGTAGCTATGCAGAGAAAACAAAAGAAAAAAGTGAAATAATCAACACTTGATCTCCTTCCTTATAGTAAACAAACACTAAGCACCCTTCCTCGTTCATGCCCTCTCCCGCAAAAGCTGTAATCATCACATTCGTTTAAATAATCACCAATTAAAAAAAACTGACGAAAATAAGGTAAAGAGGTAAAGAATAGCATACAATTGGAAGTTTTGAGCTTTGACACCAAAAACTTGGTAACACTCTCAATGTGTTTCCTCAAAATCTTTTGTTTTTTCTGAGTCCAGCTTAGGGACTAGTTGCCTTATGTATTTCTTCACGAACATCACAAAACTGTTTCTTCTCGAACGGTGGTTGCTCCTACAAGTTAATACCCCAACAATTAAAGCAATCTCACATTCACCCACAAGGTAGCAACTTGTGGAGGCTCATTTTGGACATTTTAAGAGTTGATATTTCATATTTGAGGAAAAACCTGCATGCTCAAGTTATTGATAATCTAAAAAACACTAATGAATTGGTATGTAATGGTTTGGAGAGAGACTACTTCCTATAATTGGTGGTGAACCGTGTGGTTTGAGCCGGTTTGGGTCCGGGATAGCATAAGGTGGTTTTTTTTTATCTTTGCTTTTGTTATGTGGTTACAATAGGGTATGATGTATCCAAGTGAAATACTCCTAATGGAACATAATTTTTTTGTCTTATTGATATGTTACATTTTAAGTTCTGACTAACTTCTCTTTCGCCTATCACAATGTCAAATTACTATAGTCAGTGTCAAATTACTATTGTATATGTACTTTCTCCCTGGTAAGTGAAATTGGGAATTTTAGTTCAAAATAAAGGTTTTGGGGTTTATTTGTGATTTCTAGATAATCGGAGGAGTTTTGAGTCATTTATAAAAAATATAAACTTAGGGCAACAAGACTCACTTTAAAAGCAGAAAAACCTAGTCATTTGCTTTCTTTCTCCTCAGCTAAAAGACGCCGCTCGTCTCTTCAGACAGTTCCACGATTTGTTCAAGGTACGCTTGTTACTACCTCTCCCTCCTTAATAGAACCGCTCTTCAATGTCTGATGTTAAGATTCTGATAGTCTTAGCTCGGTAGATAATTGTTATTAGATGCATAGTATTGTTAGATTCTGATGTTGTTACATAGTATTATCAGTGGTTATTAGATGAATAGTGTTATTAGTGTGTATGTGTGCCTTTTTTTATTTATCAGTGACTTATAAACACTCTGTATGCTTTTGGATTTGTACAGAGAAGGGTTGAAAATGAGTAGAGGAAGTGCAGCCGTTGCTAAGGGAAAGAAGAAGGGAGTTTCCTTCTCCATTGATTGCTCCAAACCTGTTGATGACAAGATCATGGAGATTGCTTCCCTCGAGAAGTTTCTTCAGGAGAGGATCAAAGTCGGTGGTAAAGCCGGTGCACTTGGTGATTCAGTGACAATCACACGTGAGAAGAACAAGATCACTGTCACTTCTGATGGTCAATTCTCCAAGAGGTAATACTCAAACCATACTTGTTCTCACTCTCTTCTGAGTTTAAGCATTCTTTAAGTTTTACTATGTCTTGCTTCAGGTACTTGAAGTACTTGACGAAGAAGTACTTGAAGAAGCACAATGTGAGGGATTGGCTGAGAGTGATTGCAGCCAACAAGGACCGTAACCTCTATGAGTTGAGGTACTTCAACATTGCTGAGAACGAGGGAGAGGAAGAAGACTAGAAGATCTATATTTCATCTGTTTCCGGTTTTTGTTTTCTGTTCGTTGTTGCTCAATACAATTTGTTATCGCCCTTGTGTTCTTTATTGACTCATCTTATTTTAGTTTTGTTTCTAAGTAAACTCTTGTTTAAAACAAATATTTTTGGTATGATTCAAGAATCTGTTAGTCATGATTTAATACCCAGTGACCAGTATAGTTCTGGACAGTGGTTGTTTCATTATTTCGACCATCAGATTTACCAATCCACAAATCTTAGATGTTATGAAATTTTTGGTTAATATATGACCTTTTCGCCTCAAAAATGTTTTGATTCCTTAATCTTTCAGCGGTTCAATTTATTTGACTGTATTCAAATGGTATATAGGCCCATAAACTTTCGATAATCCAAACAAACCAAGAAAAAAAAGTAAACCAAAACCAATATCCGGTTAGGATGAATCTATCAATTTCTCTAATCAGAGAGAGTTGTTTGAAGAGGCAAATAACTCTCCACTCCTTTAGCTTCTTCAGCTTGCTGCTTCTCTGCAACAGCCTTTGATAATCCAAACATCTGCAAAAACAACCCCAANTAAACTTTCGATAATCCAAACAAACCAAGAAAAAAAAGTAAACCAAAACCAATATCCGGTTAGGATGAATCTATCAATTTCTCTAATCAGAGAGAGTTGTTTGAAGAGGCAAATAACTCTCCACTCCTTTAGCTTCTTCAGCTTGCTGCTTCTCTGCAACAGCCTTTGATAATCCAAACATCTGCAAAAACAACCCCAAGTAAACGAACTACTGTTATTAATTAGTCAAATCAGATTAATCAAATCAAAACAAGACACAGCTGAGGCTCAATGAACCTAAATTGTGATTATCTGTGTTTAGGTAAAGAAGGAAGAAAGAGGAGAGAAACCTTCTTGATGGTCTTGTTGAAACAATTCTTGTGATCATCCATGGAGGCATTGATGAATTCATCAATATGATCCTTGACGTCTTCTAAGAAATTGGCATCATCCTTGACCATCTTTCTACATGAAGACTTGGCTGGCTTTGGCTCGTTTTCAGCTTGAGTGTTCTGCTTCTCCATTTGTTATGTCCTAAAGAGAAACATGTAAATGTAAAGCTTTTAAACTAAATTAAACACGAAATTGATCTAGAAACCCAAAGGACACAAAAGCATAAGAACCAATACCAATGACACAAAACCAGTATCTATTCAGCTCCTAAACAGAAGATGATTATGATGAATGATTCAAAAAGTCAGAGACTCAGTAATTAGCTATTCAACTGTCAGAATTTTCTCAGAGATTCCGTCAATTGAACACACAAAACTACATTTGAAGCAAACATAAACTTACCTACCACATTCACATATGAGTCTAAGGAAACCAAAGATCATGTTAGATCACAATCACATAGGGACTATGTAATCATATACATAAATTAGTAACACATGTCATGAAACCATACAAATCAAAAACATGATCAAGCAACACAAAAATCAAACAAGTTTACAGGCTGAAACAAAACAAAACAAAACATATATATAGAGAGAATGAGATTCAAATACAGAGAACAATCAGAGATTCAAAACTCATCGATGTTTTTTTAAATAACTGAATAATCGTAGATTCAGACAGAACTCACCGACAGATGATTAAGAAGAGTCTGACTTGTCGGAGGAGGATCTCTAGCTCTCTTCTATGCTAAGACGTTTGCAATGTAGATTACCAAACTACCCCTAATATAACTTTCTTCTGTTCATTCATTTCTGGTCAAAACCGTCATTATAATCAAAACCCTAGATAACCACGGAGAGAATCTGATGTAGTCGGAAAACATCCATCAGATCTTTAAACGGAGGTTTATCGTCTCTCACTGAAGAGTTCAGTTTCCTCTTCACTCTTCACTTCTGAAACAGACAGTTCGGTCGGAAACTGAATCGTGTGTCATAAAAACATCACCTTTTGTAATGTATTCTTCTCTGTTACTCCATAGCAAAAAGTGTCTCGAGCTTCATAAATCTCGCACCTTTCGAGCTATTACAGTGACCCTTCTTCAAAATGCATCTCCTTTCCACAACCACTTCTCCTCTGTACCCACTACTGATCCAGATTCAGTTCTGAATCTTCTCACAAGTCACGGCTTCACATCCACACAGATCTCCAAAATCATCACCACTTACCCACGCTTACTCACACTCGACCCTCAAACCTCCCTTCTGCCAAAGCTTCAAGCTTTACAGTCCCTCGGAGCTTCAACCTCTGACCTCACAGAGATCGTCTCAAAAGTCCCCAAAATCTTATCCAAAAGAGGCTCAAAATCCACCGCCTTGTACTTCGACTTCATCAAAGACATCATACACAACGACAAAGAAGAAGGACAAACTGGTAAAACCACGAAGCTGCTACGTCGTTCTTCTTCTTCTACAACAACAGGTAAGCAAGGGAATAAGATACGAAACGTTACCGTTTTGAGAGAGATGGGAGTCCCTCAACGGTTTTTATTCTCGTTACTCGTCTCTGAGAGCCAACCTGTGTGTGGGAAAGAGAAGTTCGAAGGATCAGTCAAGAAGGTAGTCGACATGGGTTTTGATCCGAAGACGTCTAAGTTTGTACAAGCTCTACACGTTTTTTACGAAATGAGTGAGAAAACAATAGAGGAGAAAGTTAACGTGTATAAAAAGTTAGGGTTTAGGGTTGAAGAAGTTTGGGAGATGTTCAACAAGTGGCCTTACTCGTTGAAGTTTTCAGAGAAGAAGATTACTAAGACTTTCGAGACGCTCAAGAGATGTGGTTTAAACGATGTTGAGGTCGTGTCGGTTATGAAGAAGCGTCCGGAATGTATGCGTTCTTCTGAGGAGAAGATAGCAAACTGTGTTGAGACGTTTTTGGGGATTGGGTTTAGTGGTGATGAGTTTGTGGCCATGGTGAAGTGTTTTCCCACTTGTGTGGGGCTTTCTGCTGAGACTGTGAGGAGGAAGATTGAGTTTTTGGTTGGGGAGATGAGGTGGACGTTGAAGGATGTGGTTGGGATACCTCCGGTTCTTGGGTATAGTTTGGAGAAGAGGATGGTTCCGAGGTGTGGTGTGATAAGAGTTCTTGTGGAGAAAGGAGTGATGAGAAGAGGAAGAGGAGGAGGAGGAGGAGATGGGATACCTCCTATGTCTTCTGTTTTGGCGTGTAGTGATAAGGTGTTTTTGAATAGGTTTGTGTTGAAGTATGGTAAGCTTGTGCCTGAGCTGATGGCTATCTTTGGTGGAGATAAGAAAAAAGGATACACTACAACAAAGAAAGTTAAAGGATTGTGTCTTTCTGTGAGTTAGATTCTTGAATTTGTTTTTTTTCTTCTTTTGGTCTCATTATAATTTGTCAAACAGATTTGAATTGATTTAGTGAATGAAAGCTTGTGAGAGATTGCTTTGCTTGTGAGAGAAAGCAGAGAAGTTCTTGAGTTTTTTTGCACAGTTGATCTTATGAACAAGAAGCTTATTGTGTAAACCGGTTAATAAAACGTTAACCGATAGTAGTCAAACCCAATTGAATGGTACAGTACTATGTAAATTATGCTTGGTGAATGAAAAGCTTATGAGAGTGTTTTGCTGGTGAGAGAAAGCGGAGAAGTTCTTGAGTTTTTGCATAGTTGATCTTATGAACAAGAAGTTTAGTGTCTACACCACCGGTTAATAAAACGTTAACCGAAACTAATCAAACCCAATTCAATGGTACAGTATTAGAGTGTAAACCGGTTAGTAAAACGTTAACCGAAACTAGTCAAACCCAATGGACTAGTTAAATTTCAAAGATGGTAAAATGTCTAAGGAACAAGAATAGAGTTCAATAACAAATCATCGTGAACCGGAGTGGTTTTCAATAAACCGGAAATTATAAAAACTCAACCGAAAGTAATCAGTAAATCAGATTGGCATTTGAAGTGTTGTTTGTTGCTATAAATAGATGAGAAGAGAGGGAGAAACTAATTGAAAAAAAAAAAGAAACCGAAAGCAGTAGAGAGTAGAGAGGATTGTTTCTTCTTGAACTTTCGTCTTTGGTTTCAAGATAATTACTTTTCAACGTAGAGATTCAGTGGAGAAAGATGGGAAGATACATGACAAAGAGGATGTTTCTGCTTCTCACTCTGATCATGTTGCTTCCTCTCTTGATCTCTTCTTCTATTTCTGGTAACTATCCAATATCGGTGAATTTTCCATCTTTCACTACATTTGCATCATCTTGATACATTTTGATCCACAGAAACCGTTTCAAACAGAGTACTCTGTACTTACTCTCTGTTCATGCGTTTAGCTATATCTTGAAAGCGTTCTTGTCCTTCAGGTGAACCAGTTAACTCTAACAAGAACGGAGTATTTATTTCTGGACGCTTCCCATCATCCGAATCAGAAGAAAAGCTTCCAAAGATTGTTTCTGATCTTGAGTTTGAGGCTTGTTGCTCTGCTTCACGAATCTTCTCATCCTCGAAAGCTGTAGAAAGCCTGGAGACGTATGGAGAAGGTGTTAAAGATTGCTTGGATCTGTTTAAGCTTCTTGAATGTTCAGGAACTCTTCGCATCTGTGCCTCCTTCTGTGACAGAGTCTTTGAAGCTTGCTCTGATGCTTACTTTAGTACTAGTGGTGATGATGCCAATGATCAGGTAAAGACTCTTTTGACATTGTTTTGTGAATTCAAAGGCATAAAACACTATCTTTGTGTCTTGTTATGTGTGTCACAGTTTATTATTGTGCCTTGTGGAGCAAGCGAAAGTATCATTTGCGGGAAAGCTTCTAAATGGGAGAGTAATGGCACAGCGTTCTGCAATGCAATGGGTTTCACTGTTCAATCAACTGATGATTCCGCAGAAGAGACTTGTTACGGAAGCAAATCAAGTCTAGAGTCGCCGCCACTCATAAAAACTGAGAAGTCTGCGTGGTTTCAACTTGTAAAGATCTATTGGCTAGTAACAGTCATTGTACTAAGAACAATCTGTTGGCTAGAAATCAGGGGGCGTTATCAGCGGCAGATGCGAGCTTTGGTTCAGAGAGAAAGAGTTGTAAGGAACATGAATGGGATTGCCTAAAGAGAAAAGAGTTTAAACTCCTTTTGAGTTCCTTAGCATTAGCATTTAAACTTTTGAATAAGAAGCTCTGTAAAAACTTCTTAAACTTTTACTGTACATACGATTCAGAAATGTTAAGAGCCAAACCATGAAAGTCAATTCAATATGGAAAAAGATTAGAAAATGTAGTAACTTGATGATACAAGAAGAGTTAGAATAAAAAGTAAAACAGGAGAGGTGTTCTAACTTAAACTAGGAGAGTGTTAAAAAAAAAAAAAAGAATAAACATAAGATGATCAAGAAACACAGAAGATGAAAATCTTAAGAAGCAACTATACACAGAAAACAATTGTGTTTTTCTCTCTCTCTCTCTTGTTTTTACAGATGCTTCTTCTTTGGTGACTAAAGTAGCCTTTGAGGTTCTCTTCTCCATTGCAGTTTACCTATCTGAAGAAAATGCATAGAGCCTAGCTTTGAGTAGCTTGTGAAGCTTTATTATTCAGTTTCAAGACTTGCCCATTTTAGGTACCTGAGAGTAAAGAAAGCCATGTGTTAAGTTATGCCTAAAAGAACAAAGCTTATCATTTCTTCTAGCCCTTTCTACTTATTAACTAAACCAATCGTATTATCAGAAAAAAAAAGAAAAAAAGAACTTCTTGGTCTGGTGAAAAAAAACAAACCTTCTTGAGAGGAATACTGCTAGAAGAAGGAGCAGGTTTCAGAATCTCAAAAGAACAAACAAGAGATTGGTCCACACTCAACAAAGCACCTGCATTATCAAACTCTCCACCATAGTTTGGAGCTGAAAATATCGTCACTAATCTCCTTTTCGCAAAAAACTCATAACCATCTTCCACCACCTACAACAAACAGACCAAAGTATAAATAACAAAAGGCATCTCTCAAAAACAATATCTAGGGTTAATGTCTTTACATACCTGATGGCCACGGCAAATAAGGTCAAGATCATTCTTATCCAAAAACTCAGCAACAACATCAGCACCAAACGTACAAGAAATCCCTCTATCACTATCAGACCAACCTTCACTCTTCTGATCAGGATCAGACCAAAGCAAATCACAAAGAAGACCATTGTCCGGAATCTCAGTAGGCCTCTGAATCTCCCTAATCTGCTCCAAATTCTCCAGCTCAGGAGACAACCCTCCGTGCATACACAAGATCTTGTCGTCAATGAGGGCTGCAACGGGCAAACAGTTGAAACAGTCTGTGAATATCTTCCAAAGCCTGACGTTGAATCTACGTTTGCATTCGTCGTAGAAGCCGTAGATTCTGTTGATCTTTGCGTCCTCGTGGTTGCCTCTCAGGAGGAAGATTTTGGATGGGTAACGGATTTTGTAGGCTAAGAGGAGACAGATTGTTTCGAGGCTTTGCTTGCCTCTGTCGACGTAGTCTCCGAGGAAGAGGTAGTTTGCTGATGGAGGGTAGCCTCCGTATTCGAAGAGGCGGAGAAGGTCTTGGTATTGTCCATGGATGTCACCTGATTTTACATATTCAAATGCAAAGAAAAAAACATTAAAAATCAAAACTTTATTGAATAAGTTGAAGAGAGAACATAAAAATCAAAACTTTATTGAATGTTTTGAAGAGATATTATAAAAATCAACACTTTATTGAATGTGGTGAAGAGAGAACATAAAAATCAAAACTTTTATTGAATGTGTTGCAGAGAGATCATAAAAATCAAAACTTTGTTGAATGTGTGATCATAAAAATCAAAACTTTATTGAATGTGTTGAAGAGAGAACATAAAAATCAAAACTTTATTGAATGTGTTGAAGAGAGAACATAAAAATCAGAATTTTATTGAAATGTGGTGAAGAGGGAGAGAGAGGGGGTACCGCAGATGCGAATGGGGGCATGGAGATCGAGGAGATTGGGCTGAGAGAGGAAGATTTGTCGTGCGTTAACGCAGAGTTGACGGATCTCGATCTCGGAGAGCTGGACCTGTTTGCCTCCTTTGCCTTCTAATAATCTTCTTATGATGTCATCCACCATGCTTATCTCCATCATCATTTCCGTTGCCGTCGTCGTCATTCTTTTTTTGATCTGATCCGATACTTTTCTTCACCGGAATCCGAAATTGAACAAAAGGGTTCGCGCCAAATCAGGGTAGGAACAATGGGTTGAAGAAAGTCAGAAGCTTTTTTTTTTGGGGGTTCTGTCTCGGATTTTCCCGGGAAAATGCAGGAAACAGAGGAGGAAAGTGGATCGAAGATTGGAATAGAAGAAATCCAAATTAAAAGATTATAGATTTCTTTGTTTCAGAAGAGGATAAAACGGATGGTGGATATCTCTCTCTCGCTTTCTATGGAAGAGAATGGAGATGGAATACGTTTGATTAAGAACCATAGCATAATAATAAGGTTAGAGATGGTAATCATAAGATAATTAATTGATAACTATTAATTTCGGGTGTTATTTAGTATTAAATTAAAATTCAACTTCAAACACTTTCTACCCATATAAATCTACATGAATATTGATTGATGATTAGTGGATACAATGAACTGTCAAAATGATGACTGAATAAACAAAAAAAAAACTGCTGTAAAACTATAAAATGATTTTTTAAAGGGAAGTTGTCAAATCTCTATATGATATAGTTAGAAGAAAAGGTAATTAGTGAAACACTTCTAAGGCAAGAATATGAGTTAGTGGGCGATGATAGGAAAGATCCAGCCTAAAAAGGATGAGACGTGGAGGTTTCTCATTGGAACTAGTCAAAGTAAAATAGTCTTCCCTTACAATTTAATGATATTTATACACACATTTATTCCTTTCTTTAATGAGTTCTTAAGAATTTTGTATTTCAGGTCGGGCAAGAAACCGCGTCTTTTGAAAAGTTCGGTTTTATGGTTAAGAGATAGGGAGGAGCACTTTATACATACGTGTGAGATTAATACTTTGTATTTGTACTTTTGTGGTGCCTATCATGTTCCATCCCTTAACTAAATAGTTTTACTTTTTGATTAAAGAAAACAAGTAAGATTTTGTAAGCATTATTTAATCAAGGCCCTGTAGATAATTAACAAATGATAGTCGAACACCTCAAATTAATATGATTGAGGAGGATAAACAACTATTTTTTTGTAAGATTTGGTTAGTTTCTTGATGTTGGGTCTGTTTTTACATGTCAATTAACGGGCCTAGTCCTTAAAATAATACTGATCTGGGTAATTAAATAAAAGAGGTGTTAGAAGTCTAATGGGCTTTATAGTTTTGGGCCCTTACTGGTAAAAAAGAAAAAACCCTAAAACTGAAGCGCATTTTATAAAACCTAGTTTTCATCACTTCACTAGCCGAAGCTTCGACGGCGGCGGCACCACATCCCCGGACGCAACCATGGTATGTTTTGTTGCAGAAGCTTTGAGTTTTGTTTTTAATGTTTCAGTGGAAGAGTGATAGATTCTGTATGTCCGAATGTGAAGTGAATTTTTGTAGGATTTTGATTTTTTTGTGTGGATTTAGTCTAAGTTTAGAGTGTGAAACAATCAATTTGATGGTGTTTTGCAGGGAATTGATTTGATCGCAGGAGGTAAGAGCAAGAAGACCAAGAGAACAGCTCCAAAGTCTGACGATGTCTACCTCAAGCTTACTGTCAAGGTTACTATTTAACTTGTCTATGAAAGTTAATGTTTGTCTGAAATCTTATATTGTCTTTTTGTTTTTTTTTTTCAAAAATTTCAGCTTTACAGGTTTTTGGTAAGGAGAACACAGAGCAAGTTCAATGCTGTGATCTTGAAGAGGCTTTTCATGAGCAAAATCAACAAAGCTCCTCTTTCTCTATCCAGACTCGTTGAGTTCATGACCGGCAAGGTTCCATTTTCTTTCTAACCTTTCTCTTTGCTAGACATGTTTTGTCTTAATTTTATGTTTAATGTTGTGTTACAATAGGAAGATAAGATTGCTGTCTTGGTTGGAACAATAACCGATGATTTGAGGGTACATGAGATCCCAGCTATCAAAGTTACTGCCTTGAGGTTCACTGAGAGAGCCAGAGCTCGCATTGAGAAAGCTGGTGGTGAATGCTTAACCTTTGACCAGCTTGCTCTCCGAGCTCCTTTAGGACAGAACACTGTAATTTTCTCTCTCAACTTAACCACTCTTCTTAATTTTTTTTATTAAATTCATGTCATCTAATATTTTAACCTTTGCTTGTTCCTTTTTGTGTTTAGGTTCTTCTTAGAGGACCTAAGAACTCACGTGAAGCTGTGAAGCATTTTGGCCCTGCTCCTGGTGTGCCACACAGTCACTCCAAGCCTTATGTTCGGTCCAAGGGAAGGAAGTTCGAGAAGGCCAGAGGAAAGAGGAAGAGTCGTGGTTTCAAGGTTTAAGAAACATTGTCTCTGCGTCTTTGAACTTGTTTCTGGAGTGTTGTTGCTTCTTAATCTCTTTCGTAATCGGATTTTTAGTGAATTGTTACTTCTCATTGGTTGTTTCAGACAAAATTTTAAGTTTGTTTCTTACTTAACACTAGGTGATTTTCCCGTGCTCATGCACGGATATAAATATTTCTAAAGTAAATATATGATAATAATTGATTACTATTTAGTTTATTTTCCAATTAATTTATAATTTGTATGTATCATTTATATTAATAATATTATATTACTTCAATTATACTTTAATTTTATATATGTTATATCTAGTCGATTTTGTTGTTTTTATGGTTGATTTAGTTATCATTTAGATAAATTGGATTGCATCTCTGAATTCACCTGTAATATTTTAAAATATATTAATTTTTTATTAATTATATATTTGCATATAGTGGGTGTTGTCTTAGATATGTAAATATATTTTAGCAAAATTATGTATAACTTAAGATATATTGTACTTAGAATGAATTAAAAATTAACTAATGTGTCTGATTCCAAAATACGTAAATTAATATAATGATGATATTCTAAAGTCTCATGCATATATATAAATTTTACAAAATAACTAAAATTGTAAGAGTTGGTTAATATTTATTTTCATTTGTTAATATGTTTTGTGTTATCCTATGATCAAGAAAAGGCTACATGCATAAGTAGTTGATATATTTTTGGAACCTCATGAACACATATCAATATTTACAATAATTAAAATATTTATAAATTCTAAATAACTTTATGCTTTAGATTTATTGAATGTAAACTCAAATTTATTTTAAATAATCTTAAAATTGGAAATTCAGATTTGCTTTGGTATTTTGATTATGGTTATATTTAGTTTCACAAACATAAAAATTTAAAATTTCAAATAAAATTTAATATTAAGAAAAAATATAATTTTAATAATCTCTATAATATATTTTTATTAAAAATACTAATTATAAAATATTTTTATTACTCTAAAAGTATATTTTATGTTATTTAAAAATATTTTTAAATGTATTATTACTATTTTGTAAACTTTCCTTTTTTTATGAAATCATATTATATATATACATATATTTTTCGTTTTCAATTTGTTTTTATGACTTTATAAAAAATTTCTTTTTTATTACATATATTTTTGGAAATTTTTGAAAAGGAAACTAAATAAAAGAATTAATAATACTATTTTAACTATTATTAATTCATTAAGGGTATCAATGTAATCAACCATCGTGAGAGTGAACGTGAGAGCGACACATAGGAAACTGACTTCTTAAATAATATTATAGAGATTAAGATTTATATCACCAAATCTTTTATTCATATCACCAAATCTTTTATTCTTACTTAACACTTGCAAGAACGAGATTGTTTATTTGAGAGTCAATGAAACAGACTTCACCAAGAACCCTAAAAGCTTTTGTAGTTGTCCTGAAGCTTGGTAAAGAAGTCATTGATGTGAGAAGTGACCTCTCGAGGTTTCTCTTGGTTGACAAAGTGACCAGCATCTTCAATCACAACTACCTCTAGAAGATTCGGAACATCTGCAGCAAATCCACCACCGTGAATGTACTCTTTAACCCCCGGCGTGGTGTAAACCATGTCCAAATCACCGGTCACGAACTTCACCGGAACTTGAATCTTGGCCCCTGTCCATGGTGCAGTGAGTTCCCATGTCCTAAAGCATCATCCAACAACTGATTAAAATCTAAACTCCAAAAAGGCATTAAAAACAGAACATCATGTTTAAGAACTTACAGATCCATGGCTCTGTAGTAGTTCAGTCCACCGGTAAATCCTGTCTTCTTGAATTTGGAGACATAGAAATCAAGATCCTCCTCTGAAAACCATTCAGGCAATTCAGCTTGTTCGCAGCTAGGGTTAGGGTTTGCTCCAAAGGGGTTATCCTTAGGTAGAATAGGTGGGCCAGGTTCCCTCCCTGTGAATATGTTCCTCAGAAACCTTCTTGGATCTGCACATGCAATCTCTCTTTCAATCTTCCCAGGCTCCTGCAAATTCACATTGTTACAACCAAACTATGTCAAGTGATCAATGGTGTAATGAGCATTTTTTTTCAGAACCTGAAATCTACAAATGTAGTAATCATCTCCAAACACAGCCTTAAACCCTTCGACAGGCTTGACATTAGGGTTTCTTGGCCTATACGGCACACTCAAACACACAAAACCCTTGATCTTCTCTGGTCGAAACAAACAGAGATACCATCCGACAATAGCTCCCCAATCATGACCCACCAGAAACACCTTCTCTTGATTTCCAGCAACACTGTCAAGAAGAGCCACGAGGTCACCAACGACGTTAAGACACGTGTACTCGGTGAAAGACTCTGGCGACTCTGAGTCTCCGTAGCCTCGGAGGTCTGGAGCTACGGCTCGGTAACCTAGAGATGATAACGCAGTGATCTGGTGACGCCACGTGTACCAGAGATCAGGGAATCCGTGGAGGAGAAGCACCAAGGCTCCTTCTTTGGGACCTTTCTCAGCAATGTGCATTGTGATGCCATTCACGCTCACCATTTTATGCTCGATTCCATCCATTTTTTCTTTATTTTTTGTTGGATCCATGAATGTGTTTTTTTTTTTTTATGTTTTAAGATGTGTTGTAGTGTAGTTTTTGTTGTGGTATATAAATAGAGAACTTGAAAATGAAATTACTTTAGTTCTGTTGCTGAACTCTAACCTACTTTTTTCTAGATAGCAGTGTCATTGGATTATGCTTATATAATTAACTGTGACAAGTTTAAAAAGCCTGTATTAAATGATGATTGCATGTCTTGAGATTACTTGAAGAATAAAATCAAAACTACAACAACTGAGTGATACATTATATTCCATTAGTCTACCTAGCTGTATATACCAATATCAAAAGTCATTACAAGTGAAAATAAGAGATAAATAAACTTTTCTCCTCAAGATTATCGAAATTCATGTGTATTGACAACATTTTAAAATTTATCTGAAAAAAAAACACTTAAAAAAGGAGGCATATTATAATGCTGAGCTTCTCAAAAGATGAGTCCTTCCCAATTGGTGAATGAGAGAAGTAAATGCAGAGAAGTAAAGCGTAGAGATGTATGTAGGTGGTTGAGACTGCGTGCATGCAATATTGCCTTGCAGAAGCCACTTTCTTTTATTTGCCACAATTTTTATGTTAACCGAAAGTAAAATGTTTCTATATCTAGCATAAATTTAATTATGTATCCAAATTAAAAGGTGGTTCTGTGTTTTCAGATCTACTAATCAGCTTATTTGATTAATATGATTCAAAATGTTTGTCATATTTTGTAAGAGATTATATGCTCTTTCTTCTCCGCTGATTTGATCACTGCATTTTTGGTGATTTATTTAATTCCACCACTAGTTGGATCGTTAGAATTGAATCAGATAGAACATCGAGAAAAATATAACGTGGAAAAAAACATCTAGAGGGAGGTTGACTCAGATCATGTGTTGTTTAAATTCTAGCAATGGGATGAGTATGAGCATCTCCAATGTAAAACTTCATTTTTTCCTCCAAAATAGAGTAAAAGAGAATATGGAGTAAAAATGCTCCAACCCCATTCCATTTTCTACTCCATAATGGAGTGATGAACAAACAAAAAACAGATTACTCCATTTATGGAATAAACTCTATTATGGAGTAGAAAATAAAGTAGAGTTGGAGTGTTTTCTACTCCATATTCCCTTTTACTCTATTTTAGAGTAAAAAATAGAGTTTTAGAGTAAAAATGCTCCAATGGTACTCTATATATCACTATATAATAGAGTGAAAAATAGGTTTACTCCAAATATATAGTAATTTGTTTTTTCTTTGTTCATCACTCTATTTTTCACTCTAAAATAGAGTACGATTGGAGTAAACTCCAACTCTATTATAGAGTGACTCTATTTTAGAGTAAAAAGTAGTGTAAACCATTGGAGATAGTCTAAGAGATGAAAGAGCGGAAATGAAGTGAATACAGAAGTAAATGAAGTTAGGTGTAACTACTTTTGTTTCCTGCAAATGTCATCTTTCTTCTATGTAAGAAAGATAATCAAAGCTTATTTTTTGGTGAAAGCAATTTTGTTTCACTATTAATGCCTTCATGGAGTGCAAGTTTACATTCTAGTAATAAATTTCAAAATTCTAATTTCATATACCATAAACTGATAAATGTATCGCTGAGGACCTGAGTACTATATTACCTAGTCAGGACTGTACCTAGTACCGGTGAAATAAGCTTGCAATGTTATCATGTTGGCAACTAATAAACAATCTGATTTGCAGATTTTACTAGTGAACTAATTTCTATACAATTTGAAGTGTAATTAAGATTTACAAACAACATCTTTAATATACTGTGATATCAAACATGAGTTTACAAAGCTAAATATTAATCTCAACAATTTGGTAGATTAACACATGATATGGCATCTTAATCGATTTTTAGGTAGACTTTAAAACCAACTTAATAGACCCTTCCGGGGAAGCTGCTGGAGAAACTGAGCCAGCACCGCTTGTATCCTTAAAAGAGGAGAAACCTGAGTCGCTGGGGCTTGTGCATGGTTGCAGCATTAGGGTTAATTTGCAGCCAAGAGGCCAGGAGTGTATGGTACACCTTTCCCTGAACCCAATCATCACCTTGAATGTACTGATCGGGTGTAAACTTAAGGATCTCTTCATTGCTCAGTGTCTTAATTCCGGCCCAAGTAACCCTGTTTGCAAGAGCTGCTCCAGGTCCTGTGTTCTGTACTTCAGAGTAGAACAATGTGTCTAGGCCAAAGTTTTCAAGCCATGGTTGCCATCCTTGTGGCTGGATGAAATCAGGAATAAAAGTGTTCATAATAATAGTTCTTGAATACTCTTTCCATGGCCTTCCGAGATAGGCTTTACTAGTTTCCTTGACAGCCAAGTAATCCGGTTCGCCAGCAATTGTGCAACCTTGGAACACAAATCCAGTTGATTCCCTCGGGTCTTTGCGACCATGAGCTGTGATGGGACATGCCTGGTTCGGAAGTGGCTTCCTAACCAGCAAAGTGCAGTTCTGGAACATATTGTTTTGGTTTTAAAGTTAGAGCTGTTACGTTGTTCTGAGTTAACGAGATTGTGAAGTTTTATGGACACTTTCGAAGGTTAAGTAGCTTCATTAGGAGTGTGCATCTGTTCATAGTTGTCAAGGGGGACAAATCAAGAGTTCGTTATGAGGCTTGGCGGGAAAATTGGCTAGTGAGGAATTAATTAATCTTATTTTAGGGATTATTCGAAACTTCATTTTTGTTTGTTTGTTTGTTTTAATTTTTCCTCTAATCTGAATAATCAGTGTCTTAATCGTGCTTAATAACAACTACTAACTGACCTACATTATATTTTCTTAGAGGGAAATACAGTTTCCTACATACATTAGTATGTAGTTTTTTGTCATTGCTTAATTCACTTTTCAACCTCATTTCCAAAAAAAAAAAAAATTTATTATTACTTGAAGTGATGTCTTTTTCTGTTTCACAGTCTAGAATAAATTTGACAATTTAAAAAAAAAATTGGTACGTTATAACTAAATAAATTAAGCTTTTAAACATCAAATAAATCTATGGTTTAAGAAGATAGAAAACACTGATCAAATACTTGATATATGTTTCTTGTACAAACAAAAACAACACAAATTAATTTTCTTGAAAACTTTAATATGAGTAATATACGGTTTGAATAGCTAGAAATCAATTGAGTTTACATCAACCCACCGGTGTACGGAACTCCCATGCTCGGCAACCAGCTATCTCCAACTATAAAGCTAGAGACAGTGAACCAAACAGCTTCAGTTTCATTGATCACATGATAACCGGGCCAATTAACCCGGTAAGCTGTCTCTGAACCCGGTCCGGTATTATTGAACTCCGCATAATACAATGTATTTAAAGCAAAATCACCCATCCATTCATTCCATCCCTTAGCATCAATAAACCCATCCATAAAATTTTGCAAGTAAACCGTCCTAGAATACTCCTTCCACGGCCTACCTAAATAAGTCTTAACCGAGTAATTACTTGAAACCAATTCAGCACTCGGTATAATTCTACAATTCTGTATCGAAATCCCGGTATTCTGGTTTGGATCGCTCCTGCCTTGAGCCGTTATGGCGTTGAACTGTCCTTGAAGTGGTAGTCTAGGAATGATGTTGCAGTTTTGAAGAACCGTTGCTGCGTTTCCAAATATGAAATCTACCGTTCCGTAGATGTCGCATTCTCTGTAGAATTGTCTAAGTGAGTGGGCGTAGAGCGTGTCTTGGTATCCCTCGAAGCTACATTTGTAAAATGCTGACATGTCAGCACTGTTGCGGACAGCTACTGCTTGGTGTTTTGTAGGCCCCGCTGTGTTTCTCACGGTTATGTTTGCCGCCATGAAGCCTCTTCCGATAACAGCTGAATACAATGACATATGAAAATAATTTATATGTGTGACGTGACATCCAAGTCTCGATTGTTTTGGAGTTTAAACGCCATTTACATTTTCTAGCTTAAGTTTTTTTTTTAACTTAACTATATAATATTCTACATTAGATATCATTAAGACAACATAGTTCTCATTCTAAAATTAAAAAAAAAAAATAGTTCTTCATTCTAAATAGGTTTTATGACATCATTATCGGTGGTCCCTAAATTGAGTCCCTTAGCGGAAAGTCTCTTACTTTTTAATTAAAAAGAAACATCCCGTAAAATCCCTTAAATAAGGGATTTTTCGCTAAGGGACTCAACTTATAGACCACCGATAATGTTGCTCTTACTTTTTCTTTTTTTTTTCTTTTGATTTAATGTTTTCGCATATGATTTTAGATGATATTTGTTTATTGATTTGACGACTTACCGAGTGTAGCAGAAGCAAAGGTGGTGGAACCATCAATGACGTTTCTATTTCCGGTGATGATTGTTTTGTCAATGCCATCACCAATAATCATCACGTACGATTTGTTGCTAGGGACCGTGACATACTCTTCGTAAACTCCGGCCACGACGTAAATCACGAAGTATCCGTTTTCGGATTCTGCCTTCGTCGGCGCAGCAGCTACAGCATCGTTAATGGTTTTGAAGGCATCACCATTGACGTCGTTTGGGTTAACAACCACCGTCTTGGCCACTTTTAGGGCACCATTGCCTCCAGGATAAGACTGTTAAATATATTTTGATATCAATCTTACATAACTATCGACAATTTGTTAATAAGGTATACGCACACACAAAACTGTAAAAATAAATAAAGGTTCATCAAAAGTATACATTTATGCTTGCATCAATTCTATTATTGAACATACATTAATTCTATTCTTGATATACAAGTACATGGATACATAAATTACATTAATAGTTTTGGTTTCTCCCATTTGAACTATGTTTTAGTTTTTATAGTTAAAAACTTAAAACAATTACAAATATTTTAGTCCTTATACAGTTAAAACTTAAGACAATTACAAAATATCTGTAAACTAATTTATATATGTTGCTTAATTACGATAGGTGTAATGGTAACCATCATAAGAATGAATAGGCAAAAAATGTAGAAGAAAATATTATAAGAATAATGAAAAATGGATTCTTTATCTAATTTAATTAGGAACAAATTTGTTCTATATTCCTCCATAATAAAAGGAATGAAAATGAATAATTATTCCTTGTAAATGGTAAATTGTTATAGGAATATTAAAAAATGCATTAATTTCTTTATTTCCTTGGTCATAAGTTTTATAATTCTACTATGAAGTGACTTTCAATTATTTTCCTCAAACTCTATTATTTATAGGATCTAAAAAAAAATTCGAAGTTACTATGGGTTGATAGAAAATAAAACCTGAAGAAGCTTTCGTCCCAAAACCTTAACTCTCTCGTAGATCATCCTCTCACGTTTCGTCACCTTCACATACGAAACATCTGGCAACGAAGACTTTTTCTCCTCCGCCAGAATCCTAGGTGGTGGCTTTTTCAACGAAGCACCAGATGTCAGCCAAGCCTCCTTGGTCAAGGCAAGAGAAACACTAATCAACTTTTGTCCGTCCGCGACACGAATGAGGATGTTAAGTTGGTCGTTAACAACATGCTCGGACTTGACATCATGAAACGAGCCTAGGCATGTCTCGTAGTTGGTCATAGCAGCGCTAAGCAACGTGAGGAGATCGTTGACCTCGAACAAGAAATTTCCTTCAGCGGTTATCTTGAACGCACGTGAGAGCTGGATAACGGTTATATCGCCTAGTAAGTGGCAATCATTAAGGGGTCCTGATGTGGGGAAATGCTCGTCCAAGGAGGCGAGAAGGTGTCTGGAAGCTTCTAGAGACTTTTGGATGGCAATACTGGCGAATTCGGATACTGAAGTGGGTAACTCGACGGATAAGATGGATTTACAGACGAGTGGATGAGGAGTGACATCACAAAGAGCTTTCAAAGTAGTTAGGTCTTGACAATGAGAAGAGATAGAGAAAATAAGCAAAGAGATGGTAGTGAAGAGAACACTATTTTGAGCCATGGCTTTGCAATAATCTATAACTACTACTAAAAAGTGTAGATGTTTACAAGTTACTACAATATGTTTTTATGTGTATTTATACATGCATGATGCATCTAATTTTTCAGTTTATAATTTTTTGTGAACATATTTTCAAAACGTGCAAACAACAATACATGATTTCCAAAGATATATGGCTGTCAACAATCTAATACGTATATTCAATTTCCTGATTCTTTATTGCGAAGGTAAGACCTAAGATTTGAAGTGATTTGTTTGTGTAGGTGGATACTTGTGACTGTGTCTCATTTGAGTTAGTGGGAGACCATATATTACAACCATTCTTGGTTTTCACATTAGCTTAAAATATTCAGATAATATATAAAGATAAAGGGTGCATGTTTTACATAATTGCATAATCAGACATATATAGGCTATAAATAAAAAAATACACATATCAGAAACTATATATTCGTGATATGATCTGCTAGAATCAGGACTTAAACGGATGATAAACAGCAAACGAAAAATAGTAACATAGTCTTAAAATTATACTAAAGTTTTATTTAAATTAATTAGCTAGGCCAGCGGTGAACGTGACACCTGTTGCCGGAAGCCATCTCCGACCGTCAATGAACGATCCAACGGTGAATGACATCGCAGTCCGTTTATCCATGATATGATAACCGGGCCATTTAACCCGACCAGAAGCCCGCCAACCCGGTCCAACATTATTATATTCACCATACCACAAAGTATCCAAAGCAAAGTTACCAAACCACTCAAGCCAGCCTCTAGGCTGGACCAGCTGGCTCATGTAAGTGTTCATGTAAACCGTTCTTGAGTAAAGTTTCCACGGCCGGCCAAGATAAGTAGGTTGTGTGGCTAACACGAAACTATTCATGATCACAAACCCTGTGTTCTGGTTAGGGCTTTTTCTCCCTTGTGCAGTTATCGTTACCTTTTGGAGTGGTAATGGAACCCTAGTATAGATTTTACAGTTCTGTAATACTGCGGCGCCGTTTCCAAATATGAAATCGATTGTACCGTAGATTTCACATTCTCTATAGAACTGACGGAGGGAATGGGCGTAGAGAGTGTCTTGGTAACCTTCCATGCTACATCGGAAGAAGGCTGATTGGTCGGAATCGACTCTCAATGCAACAGCTTGTCGGTTATGTGGCCCGGCTGTGTTTCTGATAGTTATGTCCCTTGCTATGAATCCTCTTCCAGAAACAGCTGAGTATGACCAAGTTAAGGGTTAAACTAATTATAATAAACAACACAAAAATAGTGAATAGGCATTCACTTGTAACACAAGAAAGGAATGGATTATAAGAAAAGAATGTAGAAAAACTTGAAAGTACAAGATAATATATGCGTTAGTTCTAAATTCTGTAAAAAAAACTAAATAAACAAAAAGTTATTATGGACACTTTCGAAGTAACTGATATTAATAAATTAGAGATAATATATATTTCTCACACAAGAAAGCAAGAGAATATATGGTTAGTTCTAAATTCTGTAAAAAAAACTAAATAAACAAAATTTGACCAAAACCAAAAAGAGAGAAAAGAACAAAAAGTTAATAACTTTAAGTACGTAACTGATATTAATAAATTAGAGATAATATATATATTTCTAACACAAGAAAGGAATAAATTATAAAACAAAAAAATACAATAATAAAACTTGAAAGCCTGCGGATTGCAGAAAGCATCTATGCTTTCTGATTTTCAGACACAACAAAAAACAAAATTTCATAAAAATAAAAAAAGTGAGAAAAGGTTTTAAAAGGTTAATCAATTAATTAACTAATAATTAACCAATATTAAATTACTAAGTACTAACCAACGGTTGCAGTTCGGAAAGTAGTAAGACCCTGCAAGAAATTTCTGTCACCGGTAATGATCGTCTGTCCAATACCGTCACCAACAAGCATAATATTTGTCTTCTTCTTCTTCATATCAATATTCTCTCTATACAAACCTTTCTTCACATATATAACATATCTCTTCGTGCTATGATTCGGAGCCTCGTTGATAGCTTCATTAATCGTCCGATACTTCCCCTTTCCATCCATCGAAACGACAGCGTTTGGATGCATCGCGCTAGGGTTGAGCCGCGTCATGAGGCTCTCGTCGGTCTCTGATAGCCACTCAGGGCTCATTATAGAGCTCTCGTTCCTAGATGGCTTGAAAGGCAAGGCATTAAGCTGCGTGTACATGTCTAGAACATTGCTCACGAGCTGAGTGACTTGTCTTAAGCTCCCTTTAATCATCTCCTCGTACTTTCTCTCCGTTCCTTCAAACCCTTCAAGACACGTGTCTTGGTTACTCATCGCGGCACTTAGCCATGTCTTGAGGTTGCCTCCCGCTGCTGCAGCATCGTGAGAGTTATCACCGTCGATTCCTCCTCCTCCGTGGAGTTTGTTCATCTCTAGCATCGACCATGCTAGCTCAGACACCGAGAAGCCTACAAGCTCTTTGCAATCTTCAATAGCTATTTGTTCACGTGAACGTAAGGATAAAGTCGTGACCGTTGGGATTCCTTGCATCGCAAGCTTGGCTTTGTCGTGTGCTTCCTTGACCGCAGCGNATCACCGTCGATTCCTCCTCCTCCGTGGAGTTTGTTCATCTCTAGCATCGACCATGCTAGCTCAGACACCGAGAAGCCTACAAGCTCTTTGCAATCTTCAATAGCTATTTGTTCACGTGAACGTAAGGATAAAGTCGTGACCGTTGGGATTCCTTGCATCGCAAGCTTGGCTTTGTCGTGTGCTTCCTTGACCGCAGCGTTTAGAACCGAGTGTGGGGTTAGCCCGTGACCCGATTCTTGGATGTGCGTGCGGATGTTTGAGACGCATGTGTCGTGAGCATCGATGAATTGGCACGCTTTTGCGACAAGGGACTGAACGTTTTCTTCTTTGTAGGGTTTGAAAAGTTGTGTTTGGGATGAAAAAGCGTGGTTGAACATAAGCATTATAGCAAAGAGAAGAGCGGTGAAGCCCATTTTGTGATAACCGGTTTTAGGATTCTGGTTTAGGTTAACAAGAGGAGAAGAGCATAGGAGAGAGTGAATGCATATATAGAAAAGGAAACAAAAATTGGAGGTTTAGTTAAGTATTGATTGTTGGTGAAGAAATGTTCTTTGCCTCTTTGGGAACTGTAGGAACATATTCAAACTTTAATGTTTTACCTTCTTTTATTACTCTTTTCACAAGCCAAAGGTATTCTTTCTTCATTTGGAGAAAGCTTTGTTTTGCTCTAAAAATGAATAAAGCTCTTTGTTTTGCTCTATAAACTTCAGATTCTGCTTCTAGCGAGTAGCAAACCAGACGATTTTGCTCACGAATACAAGCAATCCTAATCGGTACATCTTGTGGAATGTAGAATAATGTATCGAACTCAACTTGATTTTATTAAGCTTTACAAGCTGCATATTTATACAAGAACAATGACGGTGTAACCTAAATTTTAATGGAAACTATCCTTATCTCCAACTTGGATTACAAGAAACTTAACATTATCTTTTGAATAGAATATACGATATAACTAATATCGTATATATCACAATATGGAAAATCCTTCACCACCCTTTATAAACCGGTTGGTTCATCAATCAACTATATAGAGTTTATAGTAAATTCTTAAGAATATTTATAATCCTCATTATAATTTTTTATTTCAATATAGAATTTAGAGTAAATTTGTCTCTACTTTTATTTTATTCTAATAGAGTAAAAAAAATATTAGTCTAAGAATAAAGTATATTTTCTTTCTGTTTTAAATTAAAGTATAATTATAACAAAATTCATCATTGAGAACATCTCTAATCCTCACTTTTGTCATTATAAAATAGAGTTTATAGTAAATTCTTCTCTAGTTTCATTTTATTCTCTTATGTACAATAGATTAAAAATAGTCTAAAGTTAAAATAATATCTTAATTTTAAAATATAGTAGATGTTCAGTTGTTTTATTATATTTTTAAAAAATAAAATAATACACTAGAGATGTTTCAACTCTTAATAACAGAGAGGAAATTGGATTAAGTTTCTCTAATTATCATATGTACACATATTTGATATGGATGATAATCTATAGGCTAAGTTTATTTATATGAAACTTAAGTTAATACTACTGTTAATTGTAATAATACTAGTTAAAGTGACAAATTAATAACAGAGGGAGAACTAAAAAGTTAAAACTTTTCTTAAGCTCACAAGATCGTGATTGAGGCCCGGCCCATTTAGATTCAGTATTTCGAAACTAAGCCCAAAATTATACACGCGTAACTAACTTTTCCACCTCACGTGACTAGTCAAGATACAACTTTACTTTTAACTACAAAACATACTTTTATACTACAGAAAGTGAAAATTTCCAATTTGTAAATCTGACAGCTAACTTTCCTGTCGGAAAAGTTTAAATCCCGCCGGCGATCCTCCGTTCAATCACACAGCTTCGAGAAGCTTCCGCCATTGTTTAATTCACAGTTCGTGCTGCTTCGTACGACGAATCCGCGATCCTGCTCAGATCTATAGCTTCAAATCGGAGAAGAAGCTCGAACGTCGAGATATATTTTGCTGATATGGCGACTCGAAATCGAACGTTACTGTTCAGAAAGTACAGAAACTCTCTTCGGAGCGTCCGTGCTCCGATGACTGAATCAAAATCCGGCGTAGGTCCGGTGATCGAGATGGCGAGCACATCTCTGTTACATCCCAAACGCTCTTATACTCCAATCAGTACCGAAGATCCAGGAAGCTCAAGGTACAACCTCTCTTCCTCTCTCAGACATTGAAAGGTTCAAGCTTTGTGATTACAAGTTGTTAAAGGTGAAACCTTTTTGTCCTTTACAGTAAAGGAGCAGTGACAGTGGGGTTACCACCAGATTGGGTTGATGTCTCTGAGGAGATTTCAGTGAATATTCAGCGTGCGAAGACCAAAATGGCTGAGCTTGGAAAGGCACATGCTAAAGCGTTGATGCCTACGTTTGGGGATGGGAAAGAAGATCAGCATCAGATTGAGTCTTTGACGCAAGAGATTACTTTCTTGTTGAGGAAATCTGAGAAGCAGCTTCAGAGGCTTTCTGCTGGTGGACCTTCTGAGGATTCAAATGTTAGGAAGAACGTGCAGGTAGGTGTTGGTGGTGTGCTTTGAGCTTGACATGTCCTTTCGTAAATCACCATCTAAACATTGAGTGTTACTGTGTTTTATGATAGCGTTCTCTTGCTACTGATCTCCAACAACTCTCTATGGAGTTACGCAAGAAACAGTCTACTTATTTGAAACGTTTGAGACTACAAAAAGAGGTAAGGACATGACGTTCTGTACTTGATTCTAGCTTAGTTTTCATAGATTCTCTTGTTACTTTTTGGGGAAAGTAAGCTTTGAGGTTTGATGTATCATCAGGATGGAGGGGATTTAGAGATGAATCTAAACGGAAGCAGCTCTAGAGCTGAAGATGATGACTTCGATGATATAGTATGACTCCTTTTATTACAATCTACAACTCTTGTTCCTCTTTATGTATATGATCTGTAACCAATGCAATATATGGATTTTTCGTTTCAGTTATTTAGTGAGCATGAGATGAGTAAGATCAAGAAGAACGAGGAAATATCTGTAGAGAGGGAGAAAGAGATTCAGCAGGTTAAATGCTTTGCAACTCTTAGTTCTCTTCATAGTAACCTTTTGTCACTTTCTCATTGTGTTCTGTGTAATCTACAGGTTGTTGAATCCGTAAACGAGCTTGCTCAGATAATGAAGGATCTTTCTGCACTTGTGATAGACCAGGTATAACAACACTATTAACTGTTGCTCAGCTTGTTCTGGAAGTATAAATAATTTGAAACAAAAAACTTGGTTGTGACAGGGAACCATAGTTGATCGGATTGACTATAACATCCAAAACGTTGCTAGTACAGTTGAAGATGGTCTCAAACAGCTGCAGAAGGTAAACCTTTTATATTACCATCTCTCTCATTCAACGTTTCATGACTAAAATGTTTTGCATTTGTTAATCTTCTACAGGCAGAACGTACACAGAGAAGTGGAGGTATGGTTAAATGTGCGTCTGTTCTTGTCATCCTATGCTTCATCATGCTTGTACTCTTAATCCTCAAGGAGATTTTTTTGTGAACCAAGAAACAAAGGTTGATCCCTCATTATTTTCATTCTTTAATGATGGGAGCCACCCACATTTTTGCACCAAATGGTCTGAATAAAAAAAAAAAATCGATTGTGTTGTGTCTTTCTTGCTCCCATGCTTTGCTACAGCTTTTTTCTGATATTTTTAGTTTTTATCGCACTGTTATATCAGAACATGTTTCCTGGGGTTCACATAGGACAGTATCACTATTGTATTGACTCTTTGTAAGTTTCTGGATGTTATAATGGTTTATTTACATGTAAAGAAGATATTAACTATAATGTTTTAAGAATCTCAGAAGAATAAAGACAGCATATATTAACTGTACGGATTACGGTTTGTTTCAGAATACAAACTACCAATATTTCCATTACTATTCAAAGCATTGTAATAATCTCTAACCTTGTTTCTCTGTTAGTGTATGGACAAATGAGCTGAGTGTATGATTGCCAGCCATGCATGTCCTGATTCATCAGAAAAAACACCAAACAAGATATGAAACAAAGTAAAACCAGATATAAAATCCCAATAGAACTAAAACTAAACTAAGCCAAATCAAATAGAAGTTGTTCGACTTGAGTTTGATCAGTTCCTCTCAAACAAAACAAAACTAAACTAGACTCTGTTCTGAGCCCACCCTTGAATCGGAAACCTACATCCGTGCTTAGACTTTGATGTGGAAGCAAAAAAAGGCATTAAGAATTTACTAAAAGGTAAGACTTGTACCTCTTAAGGTCCACAGTACATCTCACCGAGAGTACATGAGGGTGTTGGCATGTTTGCAAAGTTATCAAGTGGGAAATAAACAATGTCTTGTCTTCCTTTATCTTCCTCTTCTACTTCTTCTTCTTCTAACCAGTATGTTTCTAGAATCTTAACCGCCATTTCATAAATGTCGCTGTTCTCATGAGATTGCAGGCTTTCTATTTTCTCCATTCCCTCGGCCTCTTCTATAAGCTGAGCATGTGGGTTTACATTTGTTTCAGTGCATTGGTAAATACCTTCAGCGTGTCTCGTGTTGCAAGCTTCTCCCACCTTCAGTATCTTCTCAAGTCCTTCTAAACAAAGCATGACGATTTGAGTATCCGAGGATGTGAGCATATCGCACAAGGGTTTTATGCAGTCTTGCTTTACAAGAAACCTGACACAATAGCGGATCATGTGTGAGGTTTTTAAAGAAGTAACTGACCCGCACACGCTTGAGAAATATATCGATAACCTGCTTAGAACTCTACCAAGAAAAGTTGTAATAAACCAAATGGAGTGAAAACATAAGGTTTGGTTCTGCTATTAGAATTCTTTTCATGCCTCTATTCAGACTACTGAATATGTCTTATCTTCTATATAGTTCTCAATTTTTTATTCTAATGAGAAAAACTAATAGTGAGGAAATGTATCGAGTTGTTTTCTACGTACATGATTTGCTTGTCAGAGCCTCCAGCTATAGCGTTGCAGATAGCCCAAGCAGCTTCATTCTTGACATCAAACTCAGAGTTTCGGAGCAGATTAACAAGTGCAGGACATATATCAGCATCAAATACAGCCTACAAAAGGAGATAAAGAATTGCAGACATACACTGAGAACAACATATTGATTAAAAACGGTCAAGAAGACGAGTTCAGGTATTGTATATTGACTAACCTGAATCTGTGATTGACAACCAGCTGTGATATTAGAGACTACCCAACAAGCTTCCTTCCTGATTGTCTTGTTACAGTGTCCTCTTAGAAGATTTAACAAGCATGGGAGCGCTTGAAGATCAATTATATACTATGACAGTCACAAAGAAAAAAGTTCTGATTCAAAACCAAATAGAAAAAGCCAGTAATAGTAGAATACTCAAGTGAGAAAAAACAGGGGTACGAAAAATAACAGCTCTAATACACAATTTATGTCTCTAGCTGCATATTAACCTGAGTTTGACTATCATTTCCAGTTACAACAATGCCAATTGTGCGAAGAGCAGGAGCGGCAACTGAAGGTGAACGATGGCTGTTCAGAAAGCAAAAAAAGCCATCAGACTTATGACTCAGTATTTTATTGGTTAGTTAAAGTCTTGAAACTCACACCGAAAGACCAATAAGTCGCCCACAAACATTGGCTTCAATAACGGCTTGTATTTTTTCATTTGAACCATCAGAGAGATACACCAGCGCCCAGCAGGTATAAGCCAAGAGGTCCTTGTCATCTAACCGAATGAGATGTGCAAGAGCTGGTAATGCAGCACTCACCTGTGAGCATAGAGTGTGCAGTAGTAAATAAATGAAATGTCTGAAAGAATACGACATTCATCAAAACCAATCAGAAAAAAATGTGTAGTCAACCCTAGCGTGAAAGTTTTTCAAGATGTATTGAGAGTGTAAGAGAAAGAAGAGCTATAACAAAACTCAGGTTGGTTAAAAACTTACCTGATTATAGGGAGGCTGTGGCTTCCCTCTACAAAGATTAGACAAAGTCCAAGCGGCGTTTACAAGCATAGAATTTTTGGCTCCATTGTTAAACTGTAACAATAGAGAAGGTAGAGCGCCATGTCCAAGGACTATATCACGGCATCTAGGAGAGTCTCCAGAAATATTTCCTAATGCCCAGACAACCTGATTGTCCAAGAATACAGCTTAGTTGCAACTGAAAACTGGGAGAGGAACAACAAACTCAACAAAGTATAGAAGTTACATTTATTGATCCTTGTATTTTTTTTTTTTTATCTTTTATTCAATTGCAGAAGCGACCACAAGCTCTAAGCAGTCAGTCATAAGCATTTGGGAGCCACATAGCAGAGTACGTGATGATCAATCAAATATAACTTCACAACAAATATATACCTGCTCACGGACCTCCTCGTATGGTGAGCTTAGAAGTCTCACTAGTATAGCAACAGCTCCATGATCAATCACCACTTCAGTGTTCTCAGACGTTCCAGATGCAATATTTGTTAACGCCCAAGCCGCTTCAAACTATATAAATTGTTCCATAAAACAAAAAATATCCAACTTGTGAAGCTAGTTCATTAACGAGATTGAAAGCACATGTATACCGAAGCTAACCTGAAGCTCCGGAAAGTCATCCCACGTAAGGAACTCCACAAAACGTGGAACCAAACCAGCTTGTATAACTTCTTCAACATGTACATTAAACATTTCTACCAAAAATAACATGTATAGCATTAGAAAGAGCGATTACATTGCTATAGTTTTATTTCATATTAACACAGTACTGCAAAGACATTATCATCCCTTCTAAAAATCTCATTGCAGTCTTAACATAAGTAAATTAAAAATGAGATGTCTCTCACCACCACAAAGTAACGTTCTGATCTGAGTAGTAGCCTCCATCAACAGATCCTTCTTGTCAGACCAGATACGGCTTATCAACTGTATAACCAATCAAAAATTACAAACTACTCAAAATCGAAATTAACAATCCAGTAAAGTCATGAATAGCTCAGAGCATTGGTGATCGATCCTTCAGAGATCAGATCTCACTAACAAAATCTACAGATCATTCAGATGATTCTACCACTATCTGATCATATCTCAAAACATGCAAAATTCATCATAAACCAAAATCAAATCCACTAAACCGATCTAAAACCAGATAAGATCATTCCACGAATCCTAACACCAGGAGCATACATCTACGATCTATCTACCAACCGCATGATTTTCGTGAGAAGCAAAATTCAAAATAAATTTCAAAAAAAAAAGAAGCGAAACGGACATTCTGATCGAGAGAAACGGCGGAGGGAGGAGAATGAGGAAGAACATCGCGACGCTTCTTGAGCAAGCTCTCCTCTCGCTTAGCTTTGCGGATCTCAACCATGTCTTCCTCTCTCCGTCGCCGTCCTCCAACTCCGTCAACAACCGCCTTGTACGCGATCCTCCGTACTGAGCTCGTTGTTCCTCCTCCTTTCATCTTTTGATCAACCTGGTTTTTTTTTTTTTTGACGGTTTTGGTGAAGATCAAATATCAAATTTCCAGAAAAAGGTAACGAGAGAGGAGGCCTCACGCTACACGATAATATATGAAGGAATAAAAAAATATATTTTTTGGGTGTTGAAATATATATTTGAAAATTTAGGGGTGTGAATTCGAATTTGTAAGATAACTTGGGGAGAACACAGGTAAAAAAACGCGCTCACTGATTCGTTCCCGCCTGAATTCCGTTTTCAGATATTTATCATTGGGCTAAGAAGTTAATCTGGATAGACTATAAAGCCGCATAAGGCCCAATTACAAGTTAAAACAACATGAATTTCCAACAACTTTTTTTTTTTTGAATCATGATTTCCAACTATTTATTGAATATTTATGAGTTAATTTCACGTGGTAGGGGTGGGCACTTTATCCGATACCCGAACTCGTACCCGAACCCGACCCGAAATATCCGAACCGAAGTAGCAAAATACCCGAACGGATATTGAGTTAGGAGAGTTTGGATATCCGAACCCGAACGGGTAATACCCGAACCCGAACGGATATCCGAAGATAACCGAACATATGTATATATACCCATTTATCCCTAGTTTATTTTGTCTCATTTTATTAAAACTATTTATATTAATGTTATATGTAGTTTAATATCAGATAATTTACATATAATTGTAAAAAAGTTGATTTGTTACTCATTTAAAATGCATGTTAAGTTTCTTATTTCATACTTTAAACAAAATTTGCATCCAAAATTCGAAAACAATAACCAAAATAATGATTTTTATTTTCAATAAATTATTTTCAAACTTATTAATCGTCTAAGTTATTAAACATTTAAAAAACAGTTAAGTTAATAATTAAATTTTAAATACATGAAACTTAAGTAATTAAGAATTTAAAATTTTTCTTTGAAAATCTAAATATCCGAACCCGACCCGAAATAACCGAATCCGAACTAAAAATATCCGAACCCGACCCGATATGTAAAAATACCCGAACGGGTTCTAAACCCCAATACCGAAAACCCGAAATACCTTATCCGAACCCGAGCGGGTACCCGAACGCCCACCCCTATCACGTGGAGACAGTTTCTCTGTCATCATGCTAAATCAGTTTTCTATACACAGACAGTTTATCTGCAAAAATATTCAAATGGTCCCTCAAAAAAGTGTAACCAACATAAAAAGAGTAACCTTATAGTTAGGTTTATTTGTACTAAATGGGTTTAGATATGAATTGATTATTAAATATTTTGAGCATTATATATATTTTCAGTGCTGTCAATTGAGCTAAAAATAAGGATAAATAAAAAAAAAACTAATTTTATGAAAGAAAGGGGAAAATTTAAATATAAATGAAGTGAATATTCTTAATCAATTGGAATGTTGATATTCATATTAGGATCATCACTTTATATCAAGTGAAGATGTGGAAAGACGACTGAGGTTCTGATCTCTATAAATAGCTTGTGAGAGAAGGAGTTGATAATCTTCATTCAACTAACATGCACTGTGTTTTTTCTTCAGTTAAATGAACAAACAAAAAACTCTTTCTCTTTCTAATCTCTGTGATATCTTTAAGGACATTCTTTTAATTCAGTTCCAGAAAATAAAACGATCTAGTTGTTAGGGAATTTCTGTAGGGCACACATTAATTCCAGTACAATATGGTTCGAGCTCTATGCCCTGGCAAGTGGCAACAAAACAAATCCTTGATTTTATTCAAACCTAACATAAACAAAAGGAGTCACTTCCTAGGAAAGAAAGAGAGACCATATCTATTTAAGGTCAGGACTACGGTTGATGTTTTGTATTGGCATTTCTCTAAAACTATTTTTCGTTGAAAGTTATAATTTCTTTCTATTTTCTGATCCTTTTGTTGTAACGGTTTTTTCTCTTGTTTTTGGTAACTTTCCACCACATATAGCCTCTCCCAAAATACAAGGTTTTAAACCAAACACTAAAAGGATTCTAATTTATCGAAACAAAAGTAGTAGAAAAAGAGAGGAGCAATACCAATATGGAGGATTTCCAGTCTCCTAGAATACGATCTTATAAATCGTATGAAGGAGATCGGAACCTCCAATTGGTTGATCCTGCCGATTTAAAACCGGTGAGAGGGATCTACGTTGTTAGAGAATCAAAGCGCAACCGATCTCCCATGACATCGGATCTATGGCGCAAAATCTCTTACAAAGACATGCCCGTTAGACCTAAAAGAGCTTCTTCTCATTCAACATCGTTAAAAGGTAATTTTAAAATAGCTGAATCAAAATGGTTTATAGGCTAGGCCAAATTATCTGTCTGCATTTTATTGTTACATTTACAAATGATGAGTGTAGTTGTACAACATACAAGCTCATGAACACATCATTTGCTTTTATAATTATCGTTGCTCTAAAATGTTTCTAATATTATGTATGGTTATGTTTTTTTTTTGTAAATGTAATAATCGAAGGATGGTGGAACGATCCGGAGATAAAGAGAAAGAGACGAGTGGCGAGGTACAAGATTTATTCAGCTGAAGGAAAGATGAAGACATCTCTGAGAAAGAGCTACAAGTGGTTTAAGGTCCAATGCTCCAAGATTATTCATGGAATGTAGCTCTTCAATGTGCATTATTTGCTTAGAAGTTTGTTTTTCAAAAGAAATTAAAATCATGCATGCATGTACTTTAATTCAATTTATTTTATTTGATTCTCTTGTTAATTGTGTATTTCTTTTAATGGTGTATTTCCATGACATTATATTCACTTTCTTTAACTTGCAAATGCTTTAAATAAAATAATATTTTTCAAAAACTATACATTATCAAAGAAAAAACATTAACTTGCAAATGAATACATACATTAATCCATTTTGAAGTTAGATGAATATCATTGTCATGGAAATACACTAGTCTTGCAAATGCTTTTTATATATATTTGTCTACATATTTTTTGTTGACAACTTAGATGAATACATACATTAATCCATTTTGAAGTTTGTGTAAGTTCACAATGTCATTTTTTTGTCGCAGCAAATATCATTGTCTTTTGAAAGAAACAACAAACATTGGCCGCTTGATAGATCATTTTTGTCAATCCCAAATAATTACCTTTAACATAATATGCTTCATTTATAATTGTTTGGAGACTAATTTTTACTAAGATAAAAAGAAAATGTATCATCCAAACATGGAAGTATAAATAGTAAAAAGCATCAAATATTCACTTGGTTTCTGTCCACGTATATTTCCATGCAAATACTCCTATGCATTGTGATTGTTTGTCTACACTAGTCTTGGAAACTGCTTATTTTCTGACAAATAAATTGTAGAATTGAGCCTAGTGGAAATGCACTGATTATATGCCAAAAAATCCAAAATACTTGTTGCTCTTGTATAAGGGTCCCTTCTATAAATGTGCGCTAATGGAGTCACACCGAGTCACCGACCGTTTAAGCAGGGTTTAAAAAAAAAGAGAGAGAGTTAGTTGGGCCTGAAAAGCCCATCTAATTGATAAAACGGCAACGTTCACAAAAATGGCGGGAAACACAGTTTTAAGGTTAAATCCGCGGGAGGTTTCTAATCGCCGTCGTGGTGAAAATCGCAGCTTCCTTTTGCCGGAGTTCAAGAATCCGTCTTCGAAAGATGAAGAGTCACGATCTAGAACTGGAGAAAGCTCGATTGCTGAGCCTAGCTATCAATCTCGGATTCGATGAAGAATCCGCGAAGAAATGCTTGAATCGATTCGTCGATATCTACGGTAATAGAGAAATTGATAATCCACATGCTTTAATCGATTGAATCACTATTTATCTGAATATATATTTATTTATAAATTTGGTTTAAAAAAAAAAGGTGATGATGGTAGAGATTTCATCACTGTTGCGTTATGTGGAGATGATTTTATTGCGGCGTTGGCTGATTTCGAGGAAGGGACTGAGGAATGGGATGACGTACAGGCGTTAGAGACTGAAGCTCAGGGAACGTTGGCTGAATTGTTTTGTAACGCTAACACTTGTGCTAGTGCTAGTGCTAACGGATTTGAGACTGAGGATGATGATGGTGAGTCAAGTGCTGCGCAAGTTCATGTCATTGAGGATTCTCCTGAGTCAAAGAATAAGCCTGACGTGATGGAGCTGGATTCTTCTAGTGATTTTGAAGTTGATGATGATGATCGTTCGCAGTTCAAGGTTTCAATGACAGGTTCCAGAATTCACTCATCCATGGTAAGATTCAACACTACATTTACTGTTTTCATGGTTACGGAAATTAATCATTGTTTGGAAAAGACCTTCCTGCTTCATTTGCAATCGGATGAAAGATATATGATATATCTATGTTTACAAAAACCATGCACTCCTGTGAATGAATAAGAAAGTTTTCATGGTAGACTCGTTTTACATGCATTAGAGTTTGTGAGGATTTTGTATTTGAGGGTAGCTGGCTCTGGTTGTGAATGGAAGCGTAAATTGAAAGGAAATCTTAATCTTTAAAGACAAGTCTTTTATAAGTTTGCTTTTGTCTCTCTGTATCTTGAAAATGGTCCTAAGGAACCAGTTTTATTAGGTGGACAAACAAAACAGACCAGTTTAGTTGTGAGGTCAGGTCAATGGTTTGCGAGAGAACAGTTTTTATCACAAGGACTCAGCTTTCCATTCGTTTGGGGTTTGGTGCATATAATTAAACTTGAAAGAAGTATACTTTGGGTGTCGTTTGACAGTTTCTGTTCTCTACACTGAAACTTATGAATTGTTTTGCTTTGAAGGACTATTCCATGGAGGATTCAGTTTCAACAATTTCAGGCAGAAAACCTTCTGTACAGATATCAGACCAGGACCATGAAACTCCAAGTTACGAAGAGTTGCAGGCGTTGGATGATCTGGAATTTGCGAACTTGGTTATTTTTGGGAACAAGGTTTTCCGGCCTCTGCAGCATCAAGCATGTAGAGCATCTATGGAAAAGAAGGATTGCTTTGTTCTAATGCCTACGGGTGGGGGGAAAAGTTTGTGTTACCAGGTTATGATCCTTTCCTTCTACATCTAGGTTTATCAAGGAGTAATTTGGATTCTGTCTAGGATTAGTTAGTCCCATTACCATTACTTTCTATTGCCACATCCTGCATAGTAAGTTTCGTTTTTTGTTTGATTTACAGCTTCCTGCTACATTAAAAGCTGGAGTTACCATAGTTATATCTCCTCTCTTATCCCTCATCCAGGATCAGATAGTTGCGCTGAACCTTAAGTTTGCTGTACCAGCGACTTTTCTGAACTCTCAGCAAACATCTTCCCAAGCAGCAATTGTATTACAAGAGCTCAGGTGAAGATCCTCCCACCATTTCTTTCATTTTCACAATATCTCAGGCATCATCTATTTATTTATATTCTCGAAATGATATCTAGTCATCTAAATGGTTTTAATAATCTTATATGTCTATTCGAATTTTGTTTGCAGAAGAGATAATCCGTCATGTAAACTCTTATATGTTACACCTGAGAAAATCGCTGGAAGCTCATCCTTTTTGGAGACACTAAGATGCTTAGACCGCAAGGTATTTTGTTGAGTTTTATTTCTTATTATTGTTGCATAATCGATCAAAAAGTTTCCAGCTATAAGAAGGATACTAAACACGTCTTTCTATTAACAACAGGGCCTGCTGGCAGGTTTTGTGATTGATGAGGCACACTGCGTAAGGTACATTATCGTTCTACCCTACTCTCAGACATTATAATTTTGTGATCTACATGAGTGTTCTCTGTTTATCCGTCACCAACACCTCAACATCAAAATTAGATTTCTGGCTCCGACCTGAGAATTTTTGTCTTGAAGTTAAAATACATCTACAAAATCATTTTCTGGTAACCTTGTTATAGCATACTGGTCGAGCATGTTGGGACTGGTTGCAATTTGTTGGGTATCAGTAGTTTCATCTAACAGCATAGGTCAATAACTTTGATCAAAATGTTAAAACTCACTCTGCATGAGAAAAACTGTTCGATTTTGGGTATCTGCATCTGAAAACTGCTACATTTTTCTTTTTTTTTCAGCCAATGGGGACATGACTTCCGGCCAGACTACAGGGAACTGGGATGTCTTAAACAGAACTTTCCCCGTGTTCCTGTGATGGCTCTTACAGCCACGGCAACTGAATCAGTCTGTCAGGTAACGACCATCACCATGATTAGATCCTCTTGCAACTCATTGAAATGGATTAAGAGCTTTGAGGATTCCCATTGCTAGGTTCTAATTTAAATTTTAGAAAATATTCCCACTTGCGCAATTTTGTAACATGTGTTTAGTTCATCATGACCTGAAGGCCATTGAATAACCATTTTGAGTTATTTTTTCTCCCCACGACAGGACGTACTAAAAAGTCTGAGAATCCCCAGGGCTGCGGTTCTCAAGATGAGCTTTGACAGAACCAATTTGAAGTATGAGGTGATCATCAAGAACAAGGAGCCGCTGAAACAGCTGCAAGAGCTGCTAAAAGACCGGTTCAAGGATCAGTCTGGGATCGTTTACTGTCTCTCCAAAAGCGAATGTGTCGATGTTGCAAAGTTTCTGAACGAGAAATGCAAAGTGAAGACTGTTTACTACCACGCTGGTATGCCTGCGAAACAGAGAGTTGATGTTCAGAAGAAATGGCAAACAGGGGAGGTTCGCATTGTTTGTGCGACCATTGCATTTGGGATGGGGATAGACAAAGCAGACGTGGTAACTATTGCAGTTTGTTTGCCGCCAAATTTCCGCCCTTTTCCTCTGTTTTCTTAATCGTTTTTTGGTGCAGCGTTTTGTTATACACAACACATTGTCAAAAGCGATAGAAAGCTACTACCAAGAGTCAGGGAGAGCAGGAAGGGACGGGCTTCAAGCGCAGTGCATTTGCTTGTACCAGAAGAAAGATTTTAGCAGAGTCGTCTGCATGTTGCGTAACGGACAGGGCAGAAACATGGATAGATTCAAGTCAGCCATGGCTCAAGCCAAGAAGATGCAGCAATACTGTGAGCTTAAGGTAATATCGCGAAAACGCAAGACTGAAAAGCAAACGCTGTTATTTGGAGCTCGTATCTACTGTGGTTACTATGTTAGTATGGTCTAAGATTTTTTTCTTAATTTATCTTTACTAAGTCTTAATCAATGAATGTTTCAGACTGAATGCAGAAGACAGATGTTACTAGAGCACTTCGGAGAGTCATTCGATCGAGGGATTTGCAAAAGCAGTTTACATCCGTGTGATAACTGTGAAAAGAGCTAAACACATCTTCAATGACTTAAACTGTTACGGATGTATAGTTTTATTCAAATAACTATAGTGATATACTAAATCAGTCTATCTTATTTCAGATTCAGATAATGGAGTTGTGTTTTTTCTTCTTCGAGTATTATTATCATCTCTCTTTTTTTTTGCAGGTGAAGCATGTATGGATTCTAATGGAAAAGCATCGTGAAACCGCTAGCAATATGACACATTGTAATAAACTTCTCACTACGGTTCAAAACAAGAGGCGGCTCATTAGAAGGTCCTTCGAACTGATCTTTGCATGCTAAAGCATAAGTAAGTGCTTTGGAAGCAGCCCAGATTGCTTGTTGGAAAGAGCTATTCCTCAAAAACTCTTTAGCTCCTTCAAGCTCTTTGATCGCTATGCCATAACTCTCCGCACATGACTCGTAAGCGCTCTTGAGCTGCTTGTCATTGCCTGCGCCTCTTGCGAAGTCGTTCATCAGTGCTAGGTTGTTCAGACCAAGCGCTCGAGTTTTTTCGACTGTGAGTTCCATAAGGCCATGAATGTTCATTGAGGTCGTTGTAGTATCTGCGGTTAGCCATCTGACGCAGAAGCGGTGACGAGTTGTTTGTGAGCAGAGTTTGTCGAGGAGGTCTTTTGTGACGATGTCTGTAGGAGAAAAGGAAGAAGACAAAGGGGTGATGATTATAATCACAATAATTAGCTGGAGGATGGAGGATGAGTTTCTTCTGATGCAAGACATTGCCATTGCTTGCCTTAGATGTGAAGGTAGTGTCTGTTTCCCACTTTTCTAAATTTTAAAAATATGAATATGGTGTGTTTAGCGTTGAAATATGAAATGAATAGTTTTGAAGAGTTAAAATAGGATATCTATATAGTGGAAATGTAACTCCTGCTATAATGTGGCTTAAACTGTTAGAAGAATGAATGCGTTATTGAATACTAAGTCAACAACTAACCGCTAAACCTTATGTTTTTTTTTGATGTAGTAGGAGTAACGTAAATTATTAAACAAGTTTCTGCATGTGTTACATACATAGTATATGGAGATGGGAAATGGACATACATTAACTTGTGCAACGTGCCCGCGATGCCGCTACCAAACCATCGAGTTATGAACCCTAACTTAGGATTGACCCACCGAGCTAGTAAAACCTGGAATGAGTCTCGCGACTGGTCACTCATGCAATTTCACTAGTCCCACTCCCAGTTAGGTCATCTTCTTAACTAGTTTTCTTCTTCTTTCTATGAATAAAAAGGGGAAGTGGAGCAAGAACAAGATTCTTGACCCAAAAAAGAAGGAACTAGAATAAGAATAATACGAAAGTAGTTCTCTTACTTATATGGATCACTTAATTACCCTAATCAAAATCCTATAAGAAACCTTATAAACATAATCCTAAATCTGGCGGTATACTAACTTCTTTAAGTTATAAATCGACAAAAAGTTGGTAAAACCTATCTTTATTTGATCTTTCGAATATTTTTGAAAAGAAAAGATCAGAAGATTATGAATTTTTATACATAAAGGGTTCTATCGTGGTTTCTAAGCGTGATGATTGCGTTCAGCACTAAGAATCTTCTTTGAATGTTTTTTGTTTGTATATCAGAATTCAAGCTCGACAGATATATTGAATGCCCTGCGTAGATGATCCGAGTTAAATTCACCTGTTACATACTGAACTATGCAATAAATGTTGAGACAATTGGTTTCGATTATCAACAAGTATCAAAAACTCAACATCCTCCATTCCTGATTGATTTTTTATTTTATTTTTTCCACCCAATAATAAGTTATTAACACTAAACTTCTTAACATTCATGTCAAAAAAACATCAAAATGCTCTTTTTTGTCAACATCAAAATACTTCTCTGATTGAATTTCTTTATTCACAATAATAAATTATTAACACTAAAACTTCTTAACATTCATGCCAAAAAAAACATTAAAATGCTTTTTTTGTCAACATCAAAATACTTCTCTGATTGAATTTTTTTATTCACAATAATAAATTATTAACACTAAACTTCTTAACATTCATGCCAAAAAAAACATCAAAAAATGCTTTTTTGTCAACATTAAAATGCTCATCTGTAAAAGTCATTATATATGGGTATAAAAAGTCTTGACTTTAAATACAGAAAACAATGAGGCATTAAATATTCGAGAGGTGGAGTGAGAAAGAGGGGAAAATTCAAAGTTAATGTATCTCTCTTCAAGTCACATCAATTCACACACACACAGACACTCTTGCATCGATTTAATTTTTCACAAGCGCTCTCTCCGCTACTTCTCCTTTACGTCTCTCTCTCTCCCCCTTACTCTAATCCCAAATCCCAAAAATCACAAACCTAAATTGACGAATCTGTTCTCTTCACTCTCTTCCTTCTTCTTCTTTGTTCCTCTGACCCATTTCTCAAAAACTCATCTTTTCAGTTCTTTCCATTGATTTTTACCCAATTGCGTTTTTATAGAAGAGAGAGAGAGATAAAGTGAAAGACTTTCTTTGATTTTAGGGTTTTTTTCTCATCGTCTAGCTCTGCGACGCTTCTGGGTTTCCGTCTCCGTGCCTACATTATCTCCTCAACGTTTAGAAAATTTCCAATTCGGTACTCAATTCTAAATCTTTTTGTTTTGTTTTGGTCTTATGATTATGAATCATTTGATTTGTCTGTATTCCTGTTTTTATCCTGTGTTACTGTCTAAAGTTTGGTCCTTTTTGTCCTTATTGTCTGAATTAGTTATAGCTGAGCTCTTAATAAAAATCACATGTTCATTTTACGGTAATGATGAATTATTCTCTAGTAGTAATCTAATTTCAGTTGCTGTGATGTGTAGATGATAGAAACGGAGGCTGTTGAGAGGAAACGAACCAGAGGAGGGTTTTTAACTCTCTTTGATTGGTCTGGTAAATCCAGGAAGAAGCTCCTCTCCTCTAGCACCACCTCTAAACCCTCAGGTAATGTCTGCACAACCAAAACTTACTCTTATCACTTCTTACAAAATGTCTTGTATTAAGTGTAAAATGGCCCTTGGTTGATACTTTGATGTATAGTCCTGTGTATATATGTGTGGATGAAGACAATGCATTTCTTGATTCAAAGAAGTTCACTTTTTTTTATAATCTACTTTGACTTCTTCTTCAGTAGACTTAAGCTCTTTTCTCCTTTGTTTGTATCAGAAGCATCAAAGCAAGAGAAACAAAATGCTCAAAACCACTCAAAGTCATCCCCCTCTGTAAGCATTCTCAGTACTGTCTTGGGTCTAGTGAATACAGAAAGCAATAGTCTTTGATCTGATATTTTTTTTTTTTTAAAAGGCTGAGCTTGAGGAGACTGGAAAGAGTTTAACTTACAGTCCGAGAAGGGACTCTAGTTGCTCTACATCCACTGTTACTAGCGAAGATAGACAAGGGTCTAAAGCCCCGAGTGTGGTCGCGAGGCTCATGGGTTTAGAGTCTCTGCCTATACCAAACTCCCTGGAACCTCGTTCCAATCCTTATTTTGATCCATTCTTCCTCAGTTCCTCAAGCAAGACAAGCACATGGGATGCATATGAGAGTTTCGGTTATGTGAATCATCGCAGTCACTATGATGACATTGCTTGGGATCATTTGGATTCAAGAACGAATAATAACGAATCTAACCGGCCTATTAACCGCTTTCAAACCGAAACGTTGCCTCCAAAGTCGGCTAAACCAATCTCTGTCACTCACAACAGGCTCTTGTCACCAATCCGGAGTCCTGGGTTTGTTCAGTCCAGGAACCCTGCTCAAGTAATGGAAGCAGCTTCGAGAATGATTGAGCCGAGTACTAGGATAGGTGCTAAAGCACGGTTTTCATCATCTGAGTCTTCTTCATCGATTCCAATGAGAATCAGAGATTTGAAAGAGAAACTAGAAGCTTCACAGAATAGACCAAGTCCCCAAAGCTCTAATGGTACGCGCAACAATAAGTATTTAAGAGGGAAGAACGAAGATAAGAGAACTACATCATCATCACTCAAGACACATGAGACAAATAAGGTACAGGGTAAAACCAGTTTTGATGGGTTGAAGAGTAAAGTGAAGCCGCCTTCTGTATCTGCACACACAAAGGTCAATACTCTTCAAAAGCAAGACAGCTCAAGACCCTCAAGTAGCAATAGAGCACAAAAGGAGAAGACAGAAACCAAGAACCGCATAGTTAAAAAGGATCTTGCTAGCAATGGGAAAACTGTGGTTAAACAAAATAACCAGAAACAGAACCAAATAGCTGTGACGTCTGTTTCAAAACAGAAAGGCAGCAAAGTGATGAACAAAGTTGTAAACAAGGTGTTGGTAGAAAGCGGAACTACATCTAAAAAGCCTGGTCTTACAACAACTTCGGCGGATTCAACTTTGTCCCGCAAGAAGAATCTTCCTCGCAACAAAAAACCTGCAAATGGGGTGCAAGAACCTGGAATCATCAGTGATAAACGGATCAAAAGGGGTGAGAAGTTGAATAAATCTAACACCATTGTTGATGGTGTGATGAATGCAGGGGAAGGTGATCGAAAGAAGGACATGGATGTGATTTCTTTCACTTTCTCATCCCCTATCAAGGGTATATCATCCACTAAAAAGACCAATCAAGAAATAGAATCTGCACTTAGTTTGAGTGCAATCAACGGTGATTCTCTAAACATTCTGTTGGAACAAAAGCTTAGGGAGCTAACCTCTAAGCTTGAGTCATCTAGCAGTAGCCTTACCCAAGAGGGAGAGTCTTCAGGTTCCATTTCAAAGGATTGGGTGAATGGGACTATATCTTTGCCATCAGATGATCTTGATAAAGTTTCATCAGAGAGTGAATCTGTTTCTGACTGTACTTCATTCTACAATAACCGAAAATTTCAGGTTAGTTGCACAAAGATAGCTCTGCTCTTAGTAGCTTACCACTGCTTCTATTAGTTTTACTGATCTTTGAGAAATTAATATATGTTACAGGCAGAAGAGCAGGAAGTAAACAGCTTTGTAATAGAAGCTGAGGATCTCCAAGTCTCCTGCAGCAAGAGTTTCTCAAATTCACACAATGAGATTGAACAAACAGAACTCTCAGAGTCAGTCACTTTAGCAGAGGATGAAGAAGGCCAAGACTGGGAGCTCGAGTACATAACCGACATCATAGCCTCTAACCAAATGATGGTTAAAGAAATCTCCTTAGGGATGGCTACTGATATATTACCATGGAGCCTCTTCGATGAACTCGAAGCCAATAGAGATCCACGAGGAAACCTAGAGAGAAAAACACTGTTTGAGTTTGTGAATGAGTTCTTAACACTCAAATGCGAGAAGATGTTCATGGGAAGCTGCAGAGGCTTGTTGGGGAAAGAAGGGATGATGTTTGAAAAGAAAGAGCATTTAGCTGAAGAAGTAAAGAAAGAGATTGAGAGATTGAAGAAGATGAGAGAGATGATGATGATGGATGAGCTAGTTGACAATGAGATGAGTAGCTTTGAAGGGAGATGGCTTGATTACAAGAGAGAGAGTTACGAAGTTGGAAGTGAAGAGATTGAAGAAGAGATTTTGTCTGATTTAGTTGATGAGTTAGTTAATGATCTTCTCTTGTGTTATTAATTAACAACCTGGTTGGTTGTCTTCTAGAAAGAATTGTTTGAGTTTCTATACACTTAGAAATAATAGCATTCACTCAACATCTCTCAAGTGTAAAGTAGTTTTAAACATCCTTCGTTTCAGTTCACGTGATGGCGCTTAAGCAGGATAAGCACTCGAGCCATGTGCATATGCAAGGGAACTTAGAAACAGCATGGAGTTCTAGTTCATAATGTGAGAACGGTGAGGCTTCTCTGTGAAAGTGGACTAAAAGTAAAAGCATTGTAAAAATGCTTATAGGAACTTAGAAACCGCATGGAGTTCTAGTTCACAATGTAAGAACGGGAAGGTGTTTCTGTATAAGTGAGAAAAATAATAAAATAACAATTAAGGGGTGTTCCGAGAATCGAACTCGGGACCTCTCGCACCCGAAGCGAGAATCATACCACTAGACCAAACACCCTGCGCCGTTTACGCAATACGTTAACACAAAAATTAACTTCACCATCGTGCGAACTCTGTATATGTTTCTTCATCAATTCGAATCAATAGAGCTTCCTCTCATTCATCGTCTTCTCCAATGGCTTCTAACAACACCGTAAGCTCACGATTGATCCTCTCCTTCTTCTCTAGCTACTTAGGGTTTATAACGATTCTGATCTCGATTTGTGTGTGTTTTGGTTCAATTTTGTAGACTCCAGCGGTTGATAATACATTCAGAAAGAAATTCGATACGGAAGAGTATCGAGAACGTGCACGTGAACGCGAAAAGAAGGTTTGGTTTCTTTCTTACCAAAGTTCCCTCTTTTATTTCAATCTCTGATCTGTTAAAGTTTTGATTTTTATTTTTTTGAAACGGTGTTTTTGTGGATGCAGGAGGCGGAACGGTCTAAATCTCAGTGTAGGGTTTTACTTCTCTGTTTCAGGTTTATGATAAAGTTTAGATTTTGAGATCTGGGTGTTATTGATTGGGGGGTTGTTTTTTTTTTTGGGGCAGCTAAAGGTCCTCCTGTGCAAAGAGCTCCTTTGAAGCATAGAGATTATCATGTAGACCTAGAGTCTCGTCTGGGCAAGACCCAGGTTAGTTTCCATATCTCTTTACCCCCTTTTACTCTCTTGTAGTTTGTATTAGATTGTGTAGATATTAGCTTTGTATTTATCCGTAAGATAAAGAATTGATGGAAGTAACATGTATATGTCTACCAACTCTTGGACTACTTAGCAGAGTTATGGATGATGAGACCTCTTATCTTGGGTCTCTTTTACATGAGAAGTACACTCTACAAGGTTTTCTGACTTGGAATGTGTTAAACTTGTATTGATCCTTCTTGAGATTAGCTGTGGTATTTTACTGAATACAAGTTTGGTAGCTCAGTTCTTCTAGTCCATGGAAAACAGAAGAAGGTTGTGAATGATCAGTGCATTACCTTGTTTTTACTGTTATAGGGATGGCATTGGTGTTTGACTTGGTTATTGCAAGAGTGTTTTTATAAATATGAGCTGAATCAATTTTAGTTGGTTTGGTTATCAGTTTAGTTATTGTATTCTTCTGAGTTGGAAACTTCTCAACTTTTGAGGGCTCCTTGATATTCTAATGCTCTTTGTTGTTTATGTCACCAGGTTGTTACACCGGTAGCGCCTCTAAGTCAGCAGGTAAATGGCTGTTTCTAGCTTTACTCGCCTACATGACCTTTAAGCAAAAAAACTTGTGATCCACATGTGTATCTGCTAATGAATGTTTGTCTTCTCACAGGCTGGTTATTTCTGTCGCGTTTGTGACTGTGTTGTTAAAGATTCAGCAAACTACTTGGATCACATTAATGGGAAAAAACGTACGTGGTGACTAAAGAAATCAGATTTATTCTGAAGCCACTTAAAGTAAATTATTGGATGGAATATTCAATCTTCTTACAATTTGTAAATGAAGTAGGCGATTTTGTTTTTGTTTGACACAGATCAAAGGGCGTTGGGAATGTCTATGCGGGTGGAGAGATCTTCTCTTGAACAGGTAAACATGTCTCTCCCAGGTCTTGTATATACATACTTTAAATGCTTTCATGGGGCTTGTTCACATATGACATAAAGTGCTTCTTGTTTGAATGCAATTAGGTCCAGGAGCGGTTTGAGATGCTAAAGAAGCGGAAAACGCCAGGAACTTTCTCAGAACAAGGTAAGACCTCTGAGAAGAATCTTCTCTTAGTTACGTAGTCTGCATAGTAGAATTCAGATAACTGAATATGATCATGATATGGAAACAGACCTGGATGAACGGATCCGGAAACAGGAAGAAGTAGAGGAGGAACATAAACGGCAGAGGCGGGAGAAAAAGAAAGAGAAGAAGGTATAGTTTCCATCTTTAGATGAGAAGGCTCCTTGAGCTCTCTCCTTCTCTTTTTTTGTCTCTTCTTTGATTGGCTTTTGGAAATTTGACTTGTGGTTTCTCGAAATTTCTGGCTTCAGAAAGGGAAGGTGATAGAGGAGGAGCCTGAGATGGATCCTGAGGTTGCAGAGCTGATGGGATTTGGGGGCTTTGGATCTTCCAAAAAATCATGATGATCTTCATTTGATCATTTTGTGTCTTTATGTTGTAATGTTTTTGTTTCAGATGTTTAAAACTTTGTCATTTTAACATCGATATAAGAAAACAGTTTGTTTCTTTTAACTCTCTTTTAGAGGCTTTGACAAAAGTGTTTCGGTTAATTAAGATAGTTTCTACTGACTACAGTTAACTCAGTAACCTGAGATGACTAACAAAATAAGCTTAGAGAATGCATGACTTATAATTTTCTTTCCATTGTGTTCCTCTACTCTTGTAAGTCGACTTTGGTCACATACTTACATGACTAAAGACTGGTAAATGTGTTATGGATAATGGTGAGGTTAGTAATAGTATACACCCTGTGCCACATAAAATATCCCATCTTGTAAGTAGGATAGTCTTAGTTGTATTATTGTGATGTTGTTATACAAGGAATGTTTGATATACATTGAATTATTTTATTTATTTTGGATTGAATAAATTGTACAAAATTCATCTCCATACTTATCAAAAAGAAAAATTATCAAAGTTTGCAAGCACAGTAAATCAATGGTCGACAAAGAAAACAATCTCCCAAAATTAAAAAGAGTTCTCAAGTTGCACACTTCTGCATTACAACCCCTAAGGGGTACTGAAAAAAGAAAACTAAAAAAAAAAAAAAAACCGAGGAAGATGGAGCAGAGAAAAAGAGGAAGCCAAATCTTTAATATATAATATGTACACAATCATATCTACCAATTAGGAGGCACCGAACCATTCGTGTTGTTGAAGCATTGATTACAAACACATTTTCCGTTGGTCTGAAACTGACGTATGCATTTCATCTTCTGTATCGCATCTTCTTCAGCTAAGATGCCTCGTAGATACGGTCCAATCTTATATACCGAGTTAGGTTGTGTCTCTTGTCCATATGCTTGAGTTCCAAGTAACTCACCTGTGTTCCTCGTTTGGCGATAGTCTTGAATCACCGGATTGTTAAAATGTGACCAGCTAATGGACCTTTCCATGTTGATATGCTGAGATGGTAGATACGTAACTTGCATCCCAGGTAATTGACTCATAGTTTCATTCTGGTGATTGTCTTGAAAACTTGGGGTCATTTGATTATTCGCGCAGAACTGAGTTGTCATGTTAGAGTTTACGTTGTCCACTGGCACATGAGCAAGTCCTATCAAAATAATGTGTTATTTTAATACACATGCAAACGTATACAATAATACACAAATCTCAAATACAGTACTAAAATATATATTTTTTTTTTCTGATAAATCCTATCAACTAATTCGGTTGCCCACATTAGTGCTACAAAGTAGACTAGCTACCACGCAAAAAAAAAAAAATATATATATATATAACAAAAATAACATAGACTAAAAAAATTTGAAATCAATAAACAATAAAAATACTGAATGAGACTCTAAACTCTATCATACCCATTTACCTTATTTAATGAAATTTCAGTGACCAAAAAAAAAAGACTCTAAACCCTATCATACCCATTTACCATTTAAATATTATAGAATATATATTACTTTTTAATATTTTTAATTAACTAATGATGGTGTAATAGTTGTCTTAGTGTTATTCGAGAGTATTTTTTTACAAATAATTTGCGTAAGGTTCAAAGTTAAGTACCTTGAGGATAGTGATGACAAGGGTCACTATTGCCGTTGAAGCCAAGTGTTCTGCAGTGCCCGGAGGGAGACAAGTTGCTGTTATTATTGTTGTTACGGTTTCCATCGTCGAAGTAAAGAGATTGTGGTAGAGTTGGGAATTTGACTTTGGCGAGTTTTGACCAGAAGCTATGAGCGGACACAAGCTTGTCCAAGTTGTTTTTCAGATCTCTAGGGGGACAATGAATTGTATGTCTCCTGTTATATATAAAAATGCGAGGCTGTAAATATATAAATTTCAATGGTACTAAAACAAAATAAGAGTGTCAAAGAGAAAAAAATAAATCAAAACCTGTATTTAGAAGCAGATTGACCTAAGGTGAAATCTTGATCCGACTGTTTCCATTGAGTGTGTTTTCCTGCCTGTAGATTAATCTCCATGAAGAACGTTGGACATTTTCCCAACTGAAAAAAAAAAAACATCTCACAATCATTTGGCTCAAGTTTTGAGAGAAAATGTGTATAAGATATGATATATATATATATATATATATGGGAAAATTCCATATAAATACCCCAACTAAATTCTATTAAGCTTTTTAATACCCAAACTTTTTCACTACCCAGTTTAATACCTCAACTAATTATTTTGCCCATTTTAATACACCAACTTTTATAACTGTATCTATTTTAATACTCAAACTTTTTTATTTTAATTAACAATACTAATAAATTTCAAATGAAATTTTAAAAAATCTCCAAAATTTAAGAAAAAATATTTAAATTTTCTAAGTTTATTTGAAGATTTAAGAAATAAGGTAAACAAACTCTGTAGAAAATTTAATGTTTTAAAAAAAAAGTTTTTGAAGGAAAAAAAATAATTTACTTTTTATTTCAAAAAAACAAACTAAATTCAATATATAAAACTTAAAAAACTTATTACAAAACTTCAGATTATAAAAAAATTATTTAATTTCGTTACTCAAACATATAATAAAATTAATTTTTTTCTGAAGTTTAGACATTTTTAAAATTTCATTGGAAACTTATTAGTATTGTTAATTAAAATAAACAAAGTTTGAGTATTAAAATGGATACAGTTATAAAAGTTGATGTATTAAAGTGGGCAGAATAATTAGTTGAGGTTTTAAACTGGGTAGTGAAAAAGTTTGGGTATTAAAAAGCTTAATAGAAT